AAAAAAAAAAAAAAAAAAAAAAAAAAAAAAAAAAATGTAACCGTTATCCCGGTGACCCTGAAATGCAAGGACAAAACTATCGAACTAGGAAATCTAGTCGACAATTTATTTTTATTTTTTTTTAGACTCGGACCATAGCGAGGAATCTATCTATTGGTTTTACTATGATGTGTGGTTTTTCTTTTGGCCTGACATCAATTGTTTCCTCAAAAAAAAAAAAAAAAAAAAATCATAGTGATTTCCCTCTACATTTCGAACCGATCCTACATTTTCCGGCTACAAATGTACCTACGCGCGCGTTCGGAAATTAACATGAAGAAAATAATGTCGACACAGCAACCTTGCCGTACACGGCGTACGCAACATAGTACACCACGCTCGACTGTAATGGTTTTCTCGAAAATGTGTTCGGCGTTTTTCCGTTCGTTCTACGCATCGATACAAGTACGCCGGCAAATAGATTGCTCAATCGTGTCGAAAACGAGTATTATTGTTTTACTCTCAATCGCGTCGTAGCCCAGTGTGTATTATGCAAAAAGCGCGCACGTGTGAAATTAGTTTTTAAACGTTGATCCTCGGCACAGGTGGGTTTCGGGCGCATTTACATAATATTTCACGTGCTCGCACGTCCCAAATTGTTTTTCGTTTATAATTTCGAAACGACAGATAGATAAAAAAAAAAAAAGAAAAAAAAAAATAGAAAAAAACACGAAAATATTACTTAATTACAATTCGTTCGGACCGTGTAAAAACGCGTTCGTCGGGACTCCGGACCGGAAAAAAGCGATGCCCCGTGAAACCTCAAAAATGGTAATTCACCTTAAAAATACGAAACAATGCGCATTTAAGAAGCGCTGAAAAAAACGAAAAAAAATGAAAAGAAAATAAATAAAAATACCTAAAATATAATGTCTCTCTCTCTCGCGTACGCGCGAAACGCATTCGTGTCGAAACGAGCTATTCGTAATATATTTGGATTTTTGGCATTTCTACGTTGTAATATTGTGCGATGATAATATTACGGGGGGAAAAAAAAAAAAACGAGTGTTCAATTACAGTTACGTGTTACGTGAAAATCTTGAATTCAAATTGATAAAATTTAAAAATAAAAAACAATACGATACTTCGAAACCGCTAAATCTTCAATCAAACCGAAATAAAAATCGTCGTTTCGTGTAACGGATCGCTGACGGAACCGCGAAATGCTACAGCGCCGACTGTTATTGGGCAGCGAATCGCGATCCCTGCGCCGCGAAACCGTCGAGAACCGTACGAAATACTCACGCTCGTGTCCGCGCGGTCGACGGCCCTCCGGAAATGCGTTCGGCTTCCCGCGCGGATGGGTATTTTTCGACGGCGATTCGTCCCCGGCCGATATTATGCCGCGCGGCGTCGTCACGTCCGCGCGCCGCGGTGGCGATTTCCGGACGTTATTATCGCCGTCTTCGGCGGGCGGTCGGTGGTGGCGGACAGCGCAGTGGCGGTGGCTAGGCGATCGCGTTCCCGACGTGCGCGTCGCGACCGGAACGGAGCGGTGACGGGCGATATAGTCGCGCGCGCGGGACGGGCTGTTCGGACCGTTAATTCGGCGATACTAAAACGAAAACGGTACTCGCGGAAAACGGCTTCCCGTGTAACAGGTAGCGGCGTCGGCGGCGACCTCGGCTCCGGGTTTTCCGCCACGCCGCCGCCACCCGGGGACTCGGCGACCGTCGGCGGCGGCCGGGGCACGGGGGGCCGGCCGCCGAGGGGAACGCACTGACGTCACAAACTCGCGCGCGAGAACGGCGAGTACCGCATTACGGGCGCGCGCCCGTAAAAAGTACGCGTAATGCGTGATACAGTAATACCGCGCGCGCGCGCGATACGAACGCGTGTGTCGTCGTCATCCGTCAGATTTCCGCCGAACAATCGGACAATATCACGAAAACTTGTTGTGCGATCGTCGTCGGTTCGACACACAACGTTTACGAGTACGAAAACAACCCGGGCTGTGAATTCGCATAATCAAAAACCGACCATTCACCGCGAAACAAAAAGAACTTGCATCGTTTCTACGTATATTTCAGTATAGTATCGCCAACATGGAATAACTTATTCGGGTTTGCAAAACTTGAAATCGTCAAATTGTCGAATTGGCAATGCGTCCTGTTTGTGCATGTTATGTCAAAAAAAAAAAAATAAAAGCAACGTCCCACAAGACCGTTTTCTATGGTGAAAATTTAATCTCTTAATCAATCCTATAGCCGGCGGAGTAGTTTTTCTCCGCGCAAAACAGTTATCGCTGTCGAACTACGGCCGAAACGGGCGGCACCACGACCTCTTAACTGTCTCCTTAACAAACACTCGATCACCCGATAGTATACCGGAGAAAAGTGCATTGCAATAGTAGAGATACGTCGACCGTCCGAATCGATATCGTGTAAACTACAACGCCGAAGTGGAAAATACATTAGAAACCGGCGTACGCGCGAATATAATAATGTAAAGTGTCCGAGAGTAGAGATAAAGCGAGCCCGGTAAACGCGTAAGCTTACTAAAGTTGTACCGACATTTTTTTTATCCGGTACATTTTGTTTACTGTTCTTCAAATCAAACTTCGACTACTCATTTCCGACCATTTTGTTATTAATATTTAAGAACTTTTTAGTCTGCACGTGGACACTGTATTGAAATACTCTCATGTAAATGTTTGTTCTGGCGTCATAGTAGTTGTACACGGTGAAACCGATTCAAACGACAATGAGATTGGTATTCCAGTGAATCTTGCGTAGTTTCGATAATATGTTCCGAACGCGTTTAATATTAAAATTTGAAACGTTCTTATGCTATAATAATCAGTAGCCTGCAAACAGTATTTGGTAATTTATTATGCAATTCGCATTGCATTGTTCTGTCAGTGGCTAGAAATCGATCAGAAATCAATTAGAAACTAATTAAAAGTTATTCGGTAGTCTCTTTCGCGCTTAAACGATAATTTTGTATTCGATTTCCCCTATTTACACGGCGCTGAACAATCGTGTTTACACAGTTATAACGCGTTTGCGGTTGTTGTTCGCAGAACACTGGATTATTTTTGATGTTTGTCGAGAATAAATTACAAAGAAATGAAAATTGTTAAAGATCCCGTGATACATTGCACTTACCGGTTTATTAAATCCTTAGATTTAGGATTTGTCGCAGCGTCAGAGTGCCGCATTCAGAAAAAAAAAAAAATAACTCTTAAAAATTAAAAAAAAAAAAATATGCGCCGTTGGAAACGAAACCGCGAGACGACGATTTACGAACATTATCATTTCCGTACACAGCAGTGTCGATTACAGGATGACACGTCATAACCCTTCGGTTTTCCCCGTCTGCGCTATTCAGCCGTAAATCCGCGGACAATATTTTATTTTCGACAAGTCTGCAGTCGTCAAAAACTATACGGACGCTCTTATCGCTATCTATCCGCATGTGAAAACGGACGGCGAACAATCTACAACGTATTATCATTTACAATCGAAACTTTGGATGTAATTGTAAAGTTCAGTACTGGCCGGTACAAAACGTCGCGTCCGTTTTTGTTATCGTGGTTTTCGTTTTTACACGAACGATTCAAACGTTTGTCACGTCCGTTCGTCACAAGTTTTCGACGATATTCAAATACAAAAAGCGAACAATAGCGATAAATGTGCGATCATTTTTCGCATCATATGGTGGACAGGGGGCACTATTTTAGATCGAATGTTGAAATGAATAATTCAATGTACATCTGTACGCGACGATAAACCATTGCAAACGAAAAACGATTCTGAGCGGAGTTCGGTTATACATGTATTGAATGGCCGCAATAATAGTATTATTATTACGATAGTTCCGACTAAACATACGTTCGGAATCAAAACTCATGACATTTTGAACACTGATAGATAGAAAATGGCAGTTCGACAAAATCTCAAATTCATATTTAAAAATATTAATTCCTTCGACTGAAGATAGCAAGTATAGTTAAGTTCTTGTATACTTATACAAGAACTTGACAACCAGCATATAATCTTAAATATTATCATTCATAATCGAAGAACAAAAAAAAAAAAAAAATGCTTGAAAGTTAAGCATGATTTACGAAAACGTTTTTTCAACGATTTTGAACGAATAACACCATTCGCATATCGGTTTTTACGATTTTCACGGATTTTCCCCGTAATAGCCATTTGAAAATTGTATCCTTCTTATTATATTTCTACCCCAAAGAAATAAAATGTCTGTATTTTTGATAATTGGTACTCGTATTGTTTTCTAAATAATTAAAAACGTGAGTAATAAAACCGAGGAATCGTCGAATCGAAACGCAAGTGAATTTACGTAATAAACTAACAATAATTGTAATATTTTGAAATCTTGATAAATATCCCTGAATAAATCAACCTCTATTTATTATTACAATTTTCCCGAAACCAACGAGTGACACCATGCGCCGGTGTGACAGGTTAATACTTTGGCAAACACTTATACCTACACATCTAAAAAACGACGCAATCGCTTTTGTTTGTCGAGTATTCGAACCCGAGTAAACAACAGTAAAAAAGCGAAATAATATTATGCCGTTGAAACCCGAGTGGAGCCCTTCGTAAAAGATTTCGTGAATACGTAAAATCCCCAAACGGTACCGGTATTCGACAGCAAAAAGGGCGACGAGAAAATAGAGGGCTGCCAATAATTTACGTACGTAAAATGAAAAATGTTTATAGATACTGGGTACATTTGTCGTAAAATTATTTGACCCCGCGACGCTGTACGATGTGGCGCAGACAGCGACCGTGTCCATAACACCATTTTAATTTTTGCGAAAACAAATTCTATCGGGTTTATTAAAAAAAATATTGAATGGCTTGGAATTTACGTTTAGCGCATTATACGGAATATTTTCGTACGAATTTTTTCAGTACTTCTATTTAACCTCGCAATAATATTAGTGCTTTGAATAGGTACGTCTAGGTCTACATTGGTCGATAACAATAATCTCGGTAATAAAATCTAACCATTGATATGTCGTCGCAGTGTCGTGTGTCTTCGTTGACTTACCACGTCTCTTTTGTGACGGCCCTGAGTCTGTGTGAAGCGGATAGGAATTTGTGTTGTCAAAAACCGTGAGCCATTTGAAAATGCATGTGTTTGTACCACGGGAAAATAAGAGCCAAATGTGCTGTAGCCTATTATTCGCACTGTCCCAAGTAAGCCACACTAAACTTATTTAACAACAAAAATATCGTTTATCACATTCTAACCAGGGCTCACGACCTAACCTTACATAACCAGTATAATTTACATATTATTTATTTGTATACGTTCTAGATAAGATACCTTAGTAATATTGACAAAATCATAATTTATATAGAATATCGAACAATAAAATACGTAAACGTAAATTATCAATACCAAAATAAGTAGTAGGTATATATGTTATTATGTTTAGATTTTAAAAAAATTACACCGAAAAAGAAATAGCCGATAGGCGAGACCCACCATTTTGAATACGGAAAATATTTTAATATTTTAAGAGTTTTTCTCAAAACTATTGATGAACCAGAATGAAGTACCATAGAATGTATAGTAAATGGCTGTATGCAAAATAGGTTTCCGAATTCTGGATATTTGAAAAGGATTATTTAATCGAGACAATGAAATGGTTTTTTGCCAATCAAAAATGCTCGAAAATTTAACACGAGGTTTATTACGAGTTGTGATTAGGGAAAAAAAATATTTGAGCGTAATTTTTATTTAACGTTCAAAGTTAAAATTGTTATGAAAAGGCAATTCCTATGCGTTCCAATTACAATACATAGTAGAGAAACGCTAAAATATCTAAAAAAAAAAATGTGTTGAGGTACGGAGTCTCCCAGCGCCCCCTCCCCCATCCCACAATTCGAGCACAGCAATACAATATAATAGGTAGGTATTCAATAACAATTATCGGTAGCCGGAAAACAATACGATTGGAGTATGTTTTCTCGTGCGACATTGTCGCGTTTCCATTGTCGTATAATTATTCAATAAACTATACGTTTAGTGAAAACATAAAAGGTGTTCAACAACCGCGAAGCCTTTGAACTACTCACACTGTCAATATGTCAAGGTCTCCGCGAGAATATAGAGAACAAAAACAAGAACCAATACAATTGGGAATACCTGTGCGTGTAACGATAATATTTTATTATGAATGAAAATTCGTCCTATACAATATTGAAATGCGTATGCCATATTACAATGGACTATCGATAAAAAAAATTAATCTTGTATGGATTCCGTCTAAATTGTATCGTATTTTGGATTCAAAGTGCAACGAGAAATGTATCGGTTTTACTGTGGTATGCCATTGGTTTTCTGTCTGCAAGTTAACATTTTTTTCTACCAGAAGTATTACTCCGATTTTCAAGTTCAGAAAATATTGATCAGTTAATTAACACAATAGGAGATTGTTTTTAGATATTCCTAGTGAGTTGTTTTTTTTTTATTTCATTTCGTTGAACGTGACAAAATATTCAAAACAATCTTAAAATTTTAACAATTCTTATGTGCAATGATAGGCATTAACGAATTAAAAAGTTAATAAGTTAAGGTTAAAGTGAATTTTTATTTCTTTTAACAACTTAACATTTAACTTAACAATTTGCTTTACATTATCTCAAAAAATAACGAGTTAATTTCGAATTAAACCACGTTAAGTTAATTTTAATTGATTTCGATTTTAAAATACAATATGTAATTTGTATCATTTAATAATTCCCGAATTAAATTTAGTGTTAATGTTAACTAGGCTTTTTTTTTTTTCAATAATCCTTTTATCCCTTAATTGTAATTTGCATTGTTATTATTTTACAATACTATACTAAAACGATTTCTAATACTATTAATTATATAATACTAAATATATAAGTATAAAAAACGAGTACTTATTAACTGGTAGCTTAGGTGCATGGCTGGGAATTAACGAGTTAAAAAAATTACCGTTTGCTTTTTTTTTTTTCTATCAATCGATATAAACTCGAAAAATATTTCAGTTAAAGTTATAATACAGTTAAACAACCATAGTCGATTATATTATTATATTTTAGATAGCTGGTAGGTATATCGATTTTTATTTTATTTGAGTAACGAAATACTGTAATTATAAATTCTAAACAGGTAGCGCTATATAGTTAACTTTTAAGTTGGTAAATAATCAAAAAGACTTGTGTTTAAAAAAAAATTGTGTGTTAACTTTTAATTTAATTAAGCTGAAATTAAATTAACTCTGGACTCTTATTTTTTTCTCGATAGTGCATAATTAACTTCACTGAATTAAAAAAAAAATCATTAACTTGCTCAGCTTTGCTTAGGGTTGGCTTCGATAGTAAACAAAATGAGAGAAAATATTCTGAGATGATTTTGGCATATCACAAAGAGACGAATCAGAAGCACTTAGAATTTTAATGAAACTAGACGCAGGAGAAAAAAGGGAGAGAGGAAAACATATAATATGTCGTTATATGCGATTGAAAATGATAAGAGTATGGTGAGTATATACGAGAACTAAGTGGGAGATCGGATCAAGTGGAAATTTAGAGAGTGGTCGACCCTAAATCATTAGGATGAATTCATGAAGGCGGAAGAGGAGAAGATAATACGCAATCTATTCTTAGTCGTCTTCTCGACCAAACTTTCTATGTTCATGATTTCTTAATTTCCTTGTTATAATTTAAATTATTTTTATTATTTTAATATAATAATTAAATGTTATCATTATAATTAAATTGTGAAGGTTATAATAATGTATCAAAAAAAAAATAATAATAAAATAAAATAAATTAAATTGGCAAATTAGATTTTACTTAACATAGTTAGTTTTTAAAACAATTAATTTTGAACGTGTAACTCGTTTATATAAGACGCTCATAATATCAAAAAGTATTAACTTTTTTCAGATATGGTTTTTGAAAATTTAAGAAATAAGTAGCTCATAAGTTTCATCATCGTTATTTGTGTTACTCTTATTTTACGATGTGAAAGGACTACCTAACAAGCTACATACAAATTTCATAAATAGATGAAATTTTAGTTAAAATACATTTTGAAGTTGACATTTTCAATTTCCGACATTTCTGTCGCAATATACCACTTATAAGTTTTTGTAGGAGGCGAGTATAATAGAGTGTCGTTTGTGTAATTTTGCAACGCCTGGCGTTCATTCCCTGTATCCACCAAACGCAAATGCAATTTTAGAGCTGTTTGTTTCTATAGCTCATAGCTGCACACATTCTAAAAACAAATTCAGAAAAAACTAATCATTTCTGAGATAATGAGTGTCTTATATTGTTATGTTGATAACGCTGCAGTAAAACACAACATGAAAACATATATTGCGGCTACTTAAAATTATACAATGATATGAAATCACAAATTAATGAAAACTAACAAAAATATTAATTATCACTAAAATAAATACGAAATTAAGTTATTAATAAAGACTGAATGTTATGATTTAACGTTAACTTATGAGCGTTTAATCAATGCAACTATAATTTGATCAATACTCGTATGCAGTTATGAAGCATTTTTGTTTCCCGTATAATAAATATTCTTTACGTTTTTAGTCTTAAATACAACAGTTAACGAGTTATAAGCCAAAACAACAAGTTGAGGTTTTTCCCGATTACCTGCACATTCTTGCTATTTGAAATTTTAAACATACGCAGACAGATGACCTCAAGAGATTGAACTTTAGAATTTAAAATTTACCTGGTTTGCGCTTGGATTTTGGAGTTTTAAAATTTGAAAATTGGGCTCCGTCAGTGTTTTCGCATTTTTTGTACAGGAATCGGTCGCAAAGAACCCGCGGAGTCGTTATTCCTTCGAGACTGCACGGCTTGGAAAAAGTGATTGGGTAATTTTTTTTTTTATACAAACAAATTTGCCATGGATGTTTTCATAGCCGTTAAACGCAATGTTAACGAAAGCATAATAGTTAACGGATAATATTCTAAACAACGTCATTTCGAGACAATGTCCTTGACAAAGGGCGGCGGCGCTGCAGGAAGAATAATCGCGAACACTTTGCCCCGCCAAACGAATTATTATCATCACAGCACCTGCAATATTATTACCGTGGTATTATACGATTCGACCTATAGGTACGGCAGACAATACGAATTATGCGGACGCGTCTGTGGTATAATACATTATCACAACGGAAATCACTTCCAAACGGCAAGTCGGCGACAATAATATAATTATGTTGTAATACGTTTACGCGTGCGGAATCGCGTTGGTGAACGCACGACAACGTCCAGAATCAACTGATTAATTTATATCATACACATGTGAAGGCAATATTTACGGTTGCAGGACACTGTGTACGGTCACATAGAAAAAAATAAATAGTTTGTACTATTTTAGGTAAGAACAACATTTAATATCGTGGACGGTTTGTACTGTGTCAGACGACGATAAAATATATTAGGCGGACAATTTGTACCATTTCTTTTTTCCTATGAAGAGATTTTTTTTTCGTTTTTTTTTTATTTTTTTTTCAATTGACTTGCACATTCAGCTACAATGTATTGTCATCACTCGAAACGAAGTTACAATATGATTATTGCGTAAATAGTTCGTCGACTATACTCGCGGCTTACTTCGTAAGCAATTAAATCTAAAATAAAACAAAAAATGTCTCATTTCATTTTTCTACTGGAGCAATATTTCTGGTTGAAAACATAGTTTTTAAAGATTAAAAACCGTGAAATCATCAACGTCCATTGTGCGCCGTAAATATTTGCCATTTTAACTATAATTTTGTTTCCGGGTTTTCCTGATTATTATTCTGAAAATCTTTTGGAAAATCAAAAAAATTTCCTAACCTAGATAAAATTTCCTTTCAAAAAAATTGCTATATTTGATCGGAGCAAGATTTTTAGTCAAAAATTTGTTTTTAAGGGCAAAAAAAAACACACATCGCAGTAAAACCAATAGATCCTTTTCTACGAAAAAGCAAATTAAAACGCATTTTGATTATTTAGATAAACATAAGTGTATTGCATTTAAATATGATTGATATTAAATAAAACATAAAAAAAAAATCATACTAATTTTAAATAATTCAAATTAAAATAAAAAAACAAACATGTATTGGCGAATTGGATACAATTTCTTGTGTAAATATTAAGAAAAAAATTAAGACGACGTATTAAGATATTTAGCATGATAAATTGTGATTACGAAACAGCTTAAGTTATATTCCTATCATTTCTATTCACCGTATGACAATACTGTTGTCCATAAAATATGCATCTATATGCATTAAAAACTTTTTCCTTTTCATTCATAGCTATACAAGAAGCGTCGAAATTTCTTATTCCAATCGAGTTGCATATTCCCAATAAAAATATGAAAGTATATACAAATCCGTAACTATATAAGTTTATTACAATATTAAAATAATTATTGTTAAATCTTTAATAAACGATATTATTTATAACTTACCGGTTCATTGAGGTTTATAGTTACTCTACCAGAACAAGTTACTTTTAGTCAATTCCAAGGAATATTTAAATTATTTATTCGTAAAATTATGTATTTTTACCCATTTTTAAAAATGTTCGGATTTAATTTCGTTGTTTTAAATTTGTTCACAGTGTATGTATAGTACTTTCTCGAATATCACCAAACTAATATTGTTCGTGGTTGAGATCAGGCATGGTTAATCTAATGTTTTGAACGATCTTATTTTATATCATCTTTTAAAATATATTTCTCAGTTAATATTAACCGTACAGAGTGTCCGCAATCAATTATTATCATTTTATTATCATTGTACACTGTACAGTGTCTGTTTATCAATACGTCTCTGCAGTTATAGTGTTTTCACGTTTCCAACCATGTAGTAGCCTAAATTGAAAAAAATTCATAGTTGACAATTTTATTTTAATATATCACCATAAAAAAAAAATGTAAAGGTGTTCGTTATATATGCACCGAGACTTTTTAGAATCAGAGCGGAACGTGAAATATTTTGGATTTACCATGGTATGTACGATCTTTTTATTTCTGTCAGTTAACAACTTTTCTTGAACTTCAGAAATTGCTGTTTCGTTATTTACGATATATATTTTTTTTGTTAAGTTTCGGTTAGAAATAATTGTAAATACCTAACATTTTCACAGAACAATTCATATTGAAATTTTTTAGATGCGATCGAATTTTTGAAACATTCTGGCGATATATGGGTCTAAGGCAGGTACACACCCTAGTCATATTCGCAACTGAAGATACGTGCAGTATTTAATTTGAACTTTTCAAACCGTTTACAAGCTATGGTAACATGAATACCATGAAAATATGAAAATATACTACTTAAGCACAATCAAAGATGAATCACTTTCTCCCTCCCCCTTGATAAAGAGAAGTTTTGTACAACTAAATCAAAAAGGAGATGGAACTTTTAAAAAAGTAACTATAAGAACATCAAGCCGAGATTGAAAGTCAATAGTGGCATAATTTCAAAAATTTGATGAAAGTAATTTGTATAAAATAAAGACTAATATATCAATATTGTATCTGTATATTGATTTATTTTTTCCTGCAACTTTTGTACATTTCTCAGGGCTCTGTTTTGATCGAATACGAAATCAAATTCGGGAAATAGTGTTGTGTTATAGACGGACTGAAATGATAACATTTTAATTGAATTTCAATGTAAATTTCGTCGTGTTATTATGGGCGAAATTAAGAACCAACGGAAACCCTCCAAATATAATTAAAGCTCAGGAAAAATATTTCGATACAAATTATCCTCCACGGAAAAATGTTCAACCATCGTCGGAGTGACTATTTCCTTATTGCATATTAATATCATTTTTACATAATGTTATATTACATATTTTCCTAAACATCATTGTATCAAACATTTTAGTACATGTAAATCTGTATCCTATTTATAACTAAATACGGAAATAAAATAGTGAACACATTAATTCGACCAAAGTAAACGCTCAAAAAGGATAACAACTGTGAAAGACAGAACTTCAATTATGGTCTTTTAATATTATTATATATTATATATAAGAATGTAAAAAACATATTTATATATAAATATATATTATATTATATTATAGGTATTATTACAAGACATTTCGTTATTAAAGTTTTTTAAATTGTTTTTAAATTTTCTAAAGTTAATTAATAAAAAATATATACATACATAAAAAAAAAACCTTATGAAATACGTAATTAGGACAAAATAAAATCAAGAGCAATGTCACAAGATAAATATTTTGATTTATTATTTCACATAATATTAGGTATTATTAAAAATTATTACAATATTAATAAAAACGTTTATGCGTATTTTGTTATTATAATAAATATTAAGAAATATGCGCTTTTTCCGGCCAATTAAAATTTCCAGTTTTCACTTAAATAAAAGTAAAAAAAAAAAAATAGTAAAATAAAATATAAAAAAAAAATAGTACAAGTGAACAATGAAAATTCTTATTGAGCCGTTTTTGTTTAGATTTCTATTTGCTTACGAACTAATAATAATCGTTAATAAGTTATAAACTATAATAATAAAACTTTATAAAACTCGTTGGCTCGTACACGTTTACCGCGGGTTGTGGGGTGAGGATAGGGCACGAAGAACGTAATAATTAGTGATGGGCACGACCGAACAGTAAATATCGCGTGATTCGATAGCCACTAATCGCATTCAATCTATTTGATAGATTAAAAACTAGTTTCATTTGATCATGGTTTAACTATTCGGTTATGTTTAAATCCATCCGAATAGTTTTTTTCGAAGTATTCGATGGTTTTTTCCGAATGAAACTATTCTGTAGTCTCCGAAAGAACAATCAAATCAAACATCGTGTTACCATCGATTATACCCCATCAATTATCGATAGCGTAAACTATTAGGAAATGTCGATCTCTTATAATAATATATAAGAGCGGAAAGACAGTGTTCGGTTGTCGAATGTTGACCGGCAATAGTAAACAACAATGTAAATAAAATAATCCATTCGGACAATGTTTTGTCCGCGGAAACGGTAAAAGATCCGAGATATGTGACACGTATTATTATGACAAGTACGAAAAGTCAAATATAAGTCAATAATAATGATAATAGTACTATATTATTTTTAGTGATTAGTATTGGCACACACGGGGGATCGCGCGTTCGCGGTTTCCTAACCGTTTATATAAAATTCGTTAAAAAAAAAAAAAAAAACAATTGTAATATTATTATATCGATAAAATAAAAATAAAGACACCAGTGTCGAGCGAGGGGAAGAGACGTCTTTCGGATCATGTTAGTAAAAAAATAAATACGTGAATTGATTAATCGATAATGCTTCTGTAAAGGATTCTAGTAGTATATTATCGTACGTAAAGTTTTTATATTGATGTTATTATATTTTAGTAACGATACGTCCGCGATACCGGCAATAGTAGAGGAGGAAAAATCGAAGTACACCGACGGGACGAGGAGTCGGAATGTATTGAAAAAAAAAACTCGTTTTGACACTCGGGAAGAAAAATGCTAACACATAGACATATAAATTAATTGGCTGCGCCTACAGAAAGAGACATCAAAAGCAAATAGTTACGTATAAAAGAGAAAATAAACGTTCAGGTTTTTCGTGAAAGAATAAATACTGTTTATTTGAGCTTCCACGAAAATTAAAAAATGTTACGTAGACACCCATATAATAAGACAATGACATAATGTAATCTTATCATGAACTAACTTGGAGGGAACAATATAATTTTGATCATTTTTAGTTCTACGAAAAATCATAATATCAGTCTATAATTCTCACTCAATTTACGGATGCAAGTTTAATATAGATGGAGTAAAAACGCAGACCTTTAATTTATATGTGTATGCTTATTCCCCGTTTTTGAGCGGTATACTCGTACTCTGTAATCACTAATAACCCGACCGAATCTCACGCGTCCCTAAAAAAAAAGACCTTTGAAAATCACTCAGACTCTTTTTCTGGGTTGGTTTATTGCACTTGACCACAGCTCGGGGAAACTAAAATCAGGTCGTGGGATATCATGTTTGTGTGTGTGGGAGGGGTATAAGGGGGTATCGTGTGTATGGGGTTAGAGAATGGGCACGGCCACCGCCGAATCATTTGTAAGCAGCGTCGTTCTCATCCGAATCATGGAACCATTCGGCCGCGGACATGGTTCGGCCACCGAACATCCTTCGGGTGGTACTGGTACTAGTTCCGGTAACGACGGTCGCGTTAACCGGTCTTTCGATATCATCGTCGTCTTCGTCGTCATGGTCGTACCGGATCTGCCGATGTTGCTGGTTCTGATTCTGCTGCTGGTGCTGATTTCGACGGGGTGACCTGAACGACGACCTAGGCGTGTGATCTGGACTGCTGGGCGCATCGTCGCCGTCTTCGTAGGACCGGATCCGGACTCCCCAGTTCTCGGTGAACTCGGAAGCGGAACGGGCCAGCGACGGTTGGCTGAGAGACCTGACCAGACTGACGGCATCGTCGTCCGCATAGTACGAAGATCCCCCAGTGCCCCTCCGGTTATGCTGCTGCTGATGGTAATAGTTGTACACCGAACTCACGTCACTGTAGTTATCCGGCAATTCCGGTCGTCGGAAGTCAACGGTCATCTCACTCATCGATCTACAAACATGTCATAGGAAATTAGTTGTTATATCTTTGGGTATAAAATTATATTAATTTCTTCTTAAATAATAAGAATAGGTCACTGAATATAAACAGACGGAAATTCCGGTGTCTAATAATTACATTATAAATGCAGCCCAAAAAAAAAAAAAAATCACGTAATCAAGCGATATTTTGAAACTTCGGCGGCTTGATTTTTACAATTTTTTGCTACAATTTTTAAAAAATAATCTTGTTTTATAAGATTTATGGGAGTTAGTATTATTATAAAAGTACCACAGTAAGTTGTTATGTTAGTTATAATCAGGATTCGAGACTTATATAAATACAAAAAAAAAGTCCCAAACCCTGATAAAAACAAATCTAAAAACTTAAAAAATAAAAACTGCATCGTGTTAGACCCATATGGAATCCAAGTACTCTGCAATTATGTTTTCAAATTCACAAAGAAATAACACAAAATTAAGGGGGAATAATTTCTTCACTCTGGTCACCTAATGTAAGTTCAAAACGTCTGGTAGTTTCCATTCTATAAATTCTGGAGTTGTAAAAAATAACACGTAGACAATGAAAGAGACAAGATAGCGACTTGAAGTGTCTGTTATTGAATACGGCGTGCTAACCGAAAATTACTATCTATTTAGAAAACTTATCAAGAACTAAAATCAACGAATGTTTGATTTAACATTCGATCTGGGTACAGGAAACCGTTAGCAGCTGTTTTTTTATTTTTTTTTGCGAGTTTGCGATTTTACCTGACTCGCTAACGCTGCAGACGTGCTACACTTGGTTATGGAATATACAGAACTCGTTAAGCCAAATATTATCGTACGAAAAAATTTGTACACTTCATAAGGAAAAAACTAATACCTCCGATTATAACGATTATCGTGAAAACGTCTTGGACCGATTTTCACCCGACTGAAATCAAAATAATATCGAAAAAAACCACACGTTGAATCGGTAAAACAAAATTTGATTGCTAAAACAAAAAAATACGGCACGTACTCGGGACTCGTCTTGTTATTATGATGATATTTGGTAATACGAGTTTTACCTAAGTGATCCGATAAGTAGGTAATGCCAAATTCAATTAACACCTCGTTGTAGAAAAACGTGTGACGACATCGTATATTGAAAAATTATCGGTTTTTTTTTTTTTTTTTAATTTTTTTAACAAGTCTTCGTACTATCGCCATCATACTAGTCGTGCGACGGCCCATTTTCGAGTATTACTGAAATAACGACTGATGTCATTACACGTTTTATGTTTCGTACACAGCGATAATTGATTCGGTATACTCAATCAATTATCTTTATTTATCTGTAAAGTATTATTAAATTGTCGGGACAATGACGAATAGTATGACTTTCTGATGGCACGTGTATTCCATTAACAGTTGGTTTTTATTTTATTTTTACGTTTTAACGACCAATGACATTTTTATAATATTAATTAATATTTTATTGTAGATTTATTAATTTTTAATAACAGGTGTATAAATTAAGATTTATCTATAGTTTAAAATTATATAAATCTTCTTTTAACACTCCGTCTTTATCCTACGTCTTGTCACAACTACATGGTTATCAGAAATCTGAGCCTCTGATATAAAAGTCACTAATAATATACCTACCGTACACGGTACACTACCATAATATTGAGATTATCATCACTCACCTAACGTCCATGTCGGATTTGAAGCTTGATCTCGACGTCTTCCTTGATCTAGCAAGGCCAATGGGACCGTGGTCATCGGCAGTAGTCAACGTTCTAACGCTAGACCCGTCGTCTGAATCGTATTCGTAGACGGTTGGCAGTGAGTTCCTCCTGATCCGAGCGCCCTCGAACTCAGTCTTCTTCTTCGTGTATCTATTAGATGTACCCGTGGCCTTTTGGTCGTAATGTTGTGGCGGTGCGATTACCCGAATTATCACATCCCACTTTTCCGGTTCGAATATCCGCTCGTACTTCGGATCGCTTCTGATCCGCTCGAAGTCCTCCTTGACGGTAGCCTCGGTGATCAGCTGCCGAAGTGTAGATTCTGTAGTAATGATTTGCCTCCACTTGCGCTTGTCTTCCAATGTAAGTGTCTGCTCCACCCTGTATCTGGGGTTTGGTTCTGGTTCGGGTTCTAAAACCCTGACCAATGACTCCCAGTTATCTGGCCTTGGCACTGGAACCTCCGCGGTGCTAAAGTATCTGTGCCGTTCCTCGGCCGCCGTTGCCGCTGCTGTCGATGACGATGACATATACGACTGAATCCTCGTCTGACGGTCTATCGGGCCGCCGGCTGGCGGGTATCCAGTCACCGACGACGCCTCCGAGTAACTGTCCCAGTCCGTGGCCGTGTCCTCACCTGATTGCGGATATTGTGCGTCGGGATTCGGGTAGTTTTTAATAGTTACACCCCAGCTGGCTGGAGGTGCCATCGGTTTCGGCTTGTACTCGACCACTTCTCTGCGGTGTCGCTCCACATCTTCGATGGTCCTTTTCTCGGTGATGGTCTTCAGGAATACGTCGTCAACCGTGTGTGAAGTGATCTCTGGCCGTTTGGTCGGTACTACGGGTGGCTCAATCACGTCCACTTGCATTTCGCTGGTGTACTTGTTGGACGTGGTAGCATGATGATGGGGTGTGATCGATGGTGGCGGTGACACTCTCGAGTCCACTGCCATGGTCTCTTCGGTCCGGTACCATTCCGTCTCGTCCCTGTCCTTACGTACTACCGTCGAGTACACCGGAGCCAGGGTCGGTGGCGAGCGTGTTTTTGGTGGCGGTCGGTTAACAATAGCTGGCGGTGATGGTGCAGGTGGTGGTGACGCCTGTTGGTGATGAACAATTACCGGTGGGGACCGAATCCTTGGAGGGGGCTGTTGTTGGTGGTGGTGGACGATCATTGGCGGTGAATGGGCCCTCGGCAGTGACCCGTACCCGTATTGTTCGTCGGTCACGCTCATAGTCGTCTCGTCTCTCTCCAATATGGTAGTGAGGTTTCGTTCCAGGGCGGCGATGCTCACCTCAGACTCGGAAGGTGGCGGTGTCGGACTGGGCGTCGGCGGCGGAGCACGTTTCACGCGAAGCTGTACGTCAAACTTAGGCTGGACTGGCGGCGGCAATTCATGATGCTGCAGATGCTGGTAACCGTCTGAAGTGTAGTATGACTCCTGTTGTGCGAATGCCCTGTTGTCGTACGAACCACCCGAGCTGGGCGATCTCCTGAGGCTCCTGGTACCATCTGCGTCCTCGGCCTCAGAGTGGCCGGAACTCGGGGACTCGGATGGATAGTCGCTGGGCAGCGTGTCGCCGGCGCTCACCAGTGCCATTTCCGAACCGGACGAGCTGTCCAGCGTCGGGGCCCGGGCCCGCGGTATTTTCAGTCCATCGAACATCGACAGACTAGAGTCCGACAGTTTGTCCGAGCCAACCGTCGACAGCGGATGACGTCGGATGACCTGCACCTGCTGGTTGCGCAGACAGTAGTATGAACAACCAAGACCCAACAAGACCAGCGATAGGAACAGTATGCCACATACGATCAATAGGATTTGGAATCCTTTCAGCGGAGGTTCCAGAGGTGAAGATGGAAGATCAATTCTGCTAAAACAAATTAATATGTTACATAACAATATAAGACATATGGTTTTATTTAAGTTTTCAAAAACTCGACATTCGAGATATTCGAATTCATCGGTAACGATTGACTCGGTCTAAATATACTCTGCGGGTGTGGAGTAACTCGTCGTAATGTATAATAATTATGATCGATGAGTTTTAATAATCTTATCGGTAAAAAATCGCCTTCAAAATAAATAGCACGTCGACAGAAATAACGAATTAAAATATATAAGATCGAAGAAATTAATTATAATATAATAATGCCGAGTCAGTGGTATTAACTATTACAGCGTGTTATAACTGTGTAATAACCTCGATTAGATTATGTATTATCATCCTATACTCGATAGTTTTTTTTTTAATTTTCTTATCACGACATTGTGCTGGAAATATATACAAGATTCGAAAAAATCAATGTATACAAGCAAAGGATTTTAAATCGCGAATCATAAAAGGAGAGAAAGGAGTGTCCTTCTTCCCAAAAACGCATTTTATATCCAATATTTAATTTTTTTTTTTTTATTATTATTTTAACAGAAGCGAGTATATTATTAGTATTTACGATAATATATATTTTATTTTAAACATATTTTCTGCCAGAAATGTTACTGTTTGCTCCAATCAAAAACTTTATAGTAACATTCTTATAATATTATTTATTTAGTTGTTGTGCATTAAGTACCTTCTTTGTTGTATCTTCGTTGGAAATTTCCTAGTACAAAATGTAAAAACTATCAATTTGTTGCGTAATTTTTTTTGTTTCTAGTTAACATTGACTGCAAGGGGAAAGATACAACTAATAATACTTTTCTAAGAATCATTATTCGTTAACATCAGTTTATTGTTGCGTACAAATAAAGATTAAATTACCCTTTATTTCTTTCTTACTTCCCCCCTTAAAGAGCGGCACACCTATCGGTAGTATTGCCTTTTCTTTTTCTTTTTTTTTTCTTAATCATCGACCCAATCCCGAAGAATCAATCAAATAATAAAAAAACATTCTGGGAACGAGTGTACTACTGTTGTAGGTATGAAGTTGGGAAGATAAGATACATAAAGTCGTTTAATTAATCTGTAAACAACGTTAACCATAGCTAACGAAAAATAATTCAGAGTGAAGTTCGGTTAGGTAGTAACCAAATAAAAATTACGTAAATTTCGCAAAATTAAAATATCTAGAAATACCTCAATAATAACTCAAATGTTTTGAAAATTTTACATCTAGAAAAACAAATATGACAGTTTTGTCAAAATTTCAAGTTCCTGCGAATATATTTAACTGAATTACAATAAAAAACAAAATTTAAAATAATAAAAGCAATATTTTATAAATTTGTCCGTTTTTCTGAGTTTTTTTTTTTCGGTTTTGCTCAATTACTAAAAAAACTGCATGACTATTTGTTTTTTTTTTTTTTTGTTAGAGCAGTATTTCTGGTAGAATATGTAGTTTGCAAAGACTTAAACTAATGAAATCAGTAACATAAATATTTGTCGTTTTTCCGATAACATTTTTTCTGGTTTTTCCTAATTATTATAAAAATCGCTTGAGGAAATCTGAAAATTACCTCCTCAGTGTTTCGACTAGATAAAATTCTCATTCATAAAAAGTGCTTTATTTTAAACATCAAAATATGATTTCTTTTCGAAAAGTTAATCACAAACAAAAATATAATAATAATAATAAAAACGCACATCATAGTAAAACCAACATTACCCTCCGTTCTGAATTTAAAAATAACAAACGTTTTACTTATAATACGCGTATACACGTATATATTATTATTTGTTCGTTCTATACTCACATTTTGTTCGGTATACCGGCCGGTGGTGGCGCGATGGGCGGCGGATACCTGCACACGATCGTTACCACTTCGTCACCGTCGAATTCCAGAGACGGATGGAATCTGATTACGATGTTGTTGGTGAAAACCCTTTGCGGATCCTACATACAACAATTTTTCAACGGAAAAACGTTCGGTTAGATTAAATAACGAAATTAGTTTCCTGCAGCGACTATAATAATTTTTAACTCTGAATATACCTGTTTTGTACCACATCCTTTGAGCGGCAAGTCGATTCTGGCCGTGTTGTTACCGTTGCCAGTAACCGTGCAAGCGCTGCTCCTGTCGAAATCTGCGTACACTCGGCCGTTGAACCGTTCTTTGAACTTGAGTTCGACCTGGTAAAAATCAAATAATTATATAAATAACGGTTTTCGGCTTAGGTCTACCTAATATATTATCTAATCGGGCGAAAATATTATGATACAGGCAATGTATTTTATATACGGTATATAGCCTTTTCCAATCGAAAGTTAATCTCTGATGACGTAAACCGAGGACCAGTAGCCCAAACAAAAAACAATAACATATTTAAAGGGGCAGGTTAGGTTAGGAGTTTATGGGAAGAAGAGGGAAGATGTTAACTCATTCAAGTTCCACACAAACCTGCATAAATCCAGCGGCGCAGTTGAGCGAAGCTCTGGTTCTATTCAAAACTATGGTGGTGGACAATTCATCCAAGCTCGTAACCTTGCCGGCCAGCACGGTAGTTTTGGGCAGGCCATCACTCGGGTTCGGATAGCTGATGCTGTTATCGAACTGACCTTCGTTGGACTGGGCCACGATCACTGTCACCAAGGCGGACGACAGCAACAACGGCAGTAGCAACTGTAGCGACAGCCCAGCCATATTTGGTTTCTGAAAGAATAGTTAAAATAAACGTCAGCATTTATCTTTTAGATTTTCCTTAAGAAGATTGCTTAAATTATTACAGACAATATCATTACATCGCCGGACCACATTTTTATAATAAACGGTGAAAACTTTACGCGATTTGTCCACGAGTTTCTGTATTACAGAATTGTATTAAATATTACGCGTGTAAAATTCAATTTAATAACAATTGGAATATCGGTTTCATCGAGCGTCCTTCTTCAACGTATTATAACCACAGATTTTCCTACAGAAAGAATACTCGACAAGTATTATTTAATTCGCAGAAATGTCAAAACATCAAACATTTGTCGAGAAAACGTCGGAAGTGTCATCCCTTCCGGTTGCAGTATTGTAATTATATATAATATATTAATAGCGGGTAAACCCGAGAATCGAAAGTGAAACGATTCCCGTCGTCAAGGGCGGCGACGGTAGCGGAGATTACATATTTTATAGTCATTTACCATTCACCGGAGCAAACAGATTGCACAATACTAAGCTGCCGTCAGTAATAAATATACGCCTAACCGTACACACGATTTCATGCCCACGTATCCTTATGCGCACCCAAACATCACCTTCAGTCCTAACCTAACCCAATCTAATCTAACCGGATAGCGTATTAATGTTCCCTGTTTAGCTATAGATGTGAATAAAATAATATAATTGGCCCCTTGATTGTTCATAACAAATGTATAATATCGATGTTTCAATTATAACGGTAAAAACCATGCTACTCTGTTAACGTATGTTCGCCGTCGATCCAAACATGATACTGCAGATCCTAGGTAGTAATAGCATCCTAAGCGTAAACCTAAAATTCACTAACTAAAGTCAATCAAAAATCACCTCAGAATTAGATAAATCATTGGTAAAATGGGAAATGGAAAAAATTAACCTAACCAGCTGCTGGTTCGAACTTAATAATACACCAAAGATATTAATGTCCCAAGTATAAATTTAAACCCTATTCGAGAAAAAAAACGCAACAAATTTAGTCTATGATGCTGCGTTTTACCATTGTGACACCGACAAAATCTATTTTGTACTCTACGATAATCTAAATACTAGCTATACGAATAACTCCATAACTAGCCAATCAGAGAATTTAATTTTCAAGTACGGAACGTTAATACGTAATAGAGAATCGTTAAAAACTTTCTTATTGTATGTTAAATATTCGAATTTGTTAGTTCTTATTGAATATTTAAATGAACGTATGTAAATGTCTATACGGTCGCTCGCGCTTGAATTTTTCAGAATTTAAATACGAAAATTGCCTCTTTTTATTTATAAATTTCTGGATTCCCTAGTTCATAAAAATTTAAAAAAACTTAGTCACTAAAAAATTAATGGCTAGTGCCACCGGTCCATAAGTAAATTAACGTCATTTCGGCAGACGGGGTGATAAGAAAATAGGGATGGTAAAATGTTCACCGTGCATCTATTTCTGACCTCGATTAAAAAATTGGTCCCATAACGGATAAAGTGGCTAAAACCGACAGGCGAGGTTTTTTTAAAAAAACGTTTAAATTGTTTTGATCTTTATTAACATGGTTTTTTCTACCCGTACAATAACTGTAATACTGTATAATATAAAAATTATCATTACCGTACCGAGTTTATTACAAATATAATGTTATTGTATTGAGTTGACTGTTGCATCAAGTAAAACGCGTACCTAATAATATTATAATAGGAAACAAACGTTTTAGTTGTCGTGTTTTGAAAATCTCGCTAACCCGGGCGAGTAATGCATTTCCTCATCATATCTTATTAGAGTTTAGAGTCGTCATCAAGTGACGCTGCTAACACCACGTATAATTATAATCTCGTTTCGGGTTGTTTCCATCAAGACACACAGCCGGGAAATCACAAGGCACAAGGCACTCGGATCTTCTTATTTTTCGTTATTTTGAAAATTCGGTTTCCCGCTCAGAACCATAATTTCTATGTACCGAATACTATAACAATATAATAATACGTCGTTTCCTATATATTAGTATTATAATAACACGAACTCAAGGTTAACGGGCTCGAAAGATGATAGCCTAATCGTCTTTCCGTCCGGCAAAAGTAAAATTGAAAAATGTAAATAAAAAAAAAACAGCAGAATAATAAAAAACTGCATATTAAGAAGCCGTCACGGATACATTTGTCATCTCTGTCTTTCTAATAAGCGTTGCAGCAATAACATGCGTTCACGTTAGAGCTCTAGGTTTCCAAATACCAAACCGAACGTTGTGTAACCATTTTTAAACCAGACGGGACCAGACCAAACCGGGTCAGACCTAAATTTGTGGATGGACTGGACTAAACCGAACAGATTAATTTGAAGATTCGACAGAACCGGACTAGACCGTTGTGAATTCCAAAAGAAAGCGACTGAAAAGACACTATAATTAACAATATTATGTGATTTGTAACTGACCCCTCTCCCTCCTAAAAAAAAATCCTCTGCAGAGGCTCAAATGCCACTGGGGCGGCCTTTTTTTAAGATGACGTCACACTCGCATGACGAGCTGTTTCCGTCTTACACACAAGCACAGTAGAGCAAATTTTCGTTCAACAGAGATAAGTTTATATACTATTAATTTTAACATTCGAGAGAATCAACGTGTTATCAACCTTAATAATAAGGACATTATGCAACTACCGTCGATTTTTTTCGATATTGGATAGTTTTCAATCGATGTATACGAGATATATCTATGCGAAATATCACAATATTTCAAAAACGCTTATATCTCGCATAAAAATGGAAATATCAAGAAAAAAACTGTCCGAGTTGTGTACACTTGACTTTAAGTTTGATAACGGATCAATGCACACGATTGATATTAAAAAAACGGTAGTGTCAAACGCAAATTCCCTACATCGTTTGTTAGACGTAGACGGCACTATCGAACAACCATGATAATGTCGACGTAAAAGCACGTCCAAGGACCCGTCCGCATTATGATAAAATTGAAAATTATTTGAGCTATAATATTTTTGCCGTCCGTAAATGTTCGATAAACGTATATAGTACAGTCCGGTAGTATTATAGGTGCCCATAATACGTATATGACAATACACACCGTAATAAGTCAGGCACATCGTTCACGACTAATTTGCGTCGGATACGCACGTACGCGGCTCGTCGTAAGTATAATTTGTCCTATAAAGAAATCGTTTGCGTGCACGTGTGTTTTTATTTCATTTTTTTTTTTCTACGTTCTATTCTTCTCGAGACAATTTTCATTGCCACGGTCTCCCCGGCCGCCGCCGGTCGGCCCGTTTGTCACCGCGGGCCGGCCACGAATCCGCGCGCTCGGGACCCGGCAGTGATCTTCCGTCGTAGCTATAGGTACGGTGTACTCCGGTAGCTGAACCGAATTATATTTTTGTCCACCACTTCACGGCCATACTATATGAATACGAATATTCATCGACGAATCGTAAACGAGCCGAAAAACTAGTAACACGATTTGATTTGTCAACCGTTCGCAAATTATTTTAAAATTTTTTTTTACTTTAACTTAATTTTCCGTGAACAAAAAACGCATTATAAAAGCTTCATCGCCCGGCACTCGGACAATCAACATAATAGTTCAAAACTCCTGCGAATCCTATACATGTCTAACCCCGCTACTTGCCTGCTCGAGTTTTTGGCATTTTGCGTATGCGACGCGCGTAGAAAATGTGAGAAGTCTCTAGGGTTTTTTCGGTGATATTCGTTAGGTGTACTATGCACAATCAATACCGAACTGTCCGTATTGGATGTAACGCCGAGAAAACGCGTCCGAGGCAAAGAAGCCGTCGCGGTCGTCGGCACGGAAAAAATTAATTACTATCCGCGGTCGGGAATGTCGTGTCGACGGCGGCAATTGATACGGGAAAACAACAGAACGTGAAAAAAAAATAATAATAATAGTACGAGAATGAAAAAAAAAAAAAAGGGCGTATACTCGGCGGCGTCGTCGTCGTCGGCGTATGAGAAACAATAAATTCGCATCGAACGACCTTCTCGATTGCACAACGGATAGTGTGCATTAAAAACGTTTTGATTTACACCGGTGCAATGCTCGATTCGAACCCGATTCGTGTAAATACGTAACGAGGCTACTATATAATATTAATGTATATATATATACGTGTGTTATTATCTTAATATACACTCGCGGTTTCGCCCTCTAATCATAATAATACGAGTATATGGTACCTATATCATAGTATAATATACACCTTATTAGCCGCTGCGATATTTTATATCGCATATGCGATCGAAAACAATCCCCCAAAAAAAAACAATAAGCTAGTCGTATCGCATATATTATTATATTACAATATAATTATTATTATCGTGCACACATATACCTGCTCGAATTACGATTATTATCGTATAACACCGCGAGCAAAGCGCAACGACATATTACGACGTTATGCTGCAATCGGCTTTTATAATAAATAATAAATCAAACAATAAATCTGCTTGCGACTTAGTTTTCCTCGGGGGGAAAAAAAGTCTGTGCCCTAAACTTACGTCGCGGTCGATGAAACGAAAGAAACGGAATCCATAACGAACGAATCCATATCGTTTATTACGAAAATCCAGGACTGCACACCTCTAATAAATGATTTGCGTTCCCGTCCTGTTCGCGGGTGCGTTTCCACACCGGCTGAATAGTCAAACATCCACAAATAAAAGCTTCCCGACGAATATAATTTTAGAGAAAAAAACAAGTCGGGAAAGCGTTTTAAACGCTTTGTATATGATTCCCATACACGGTTTCGAACGAATTTGAATATCTTATATACTGTGACGTGTATAAACCTGAATAAAATAAAGATCTTAATTTGCCAACAGATGACAGGATATAATTTTTTTTAAATTCTTTAAGTGCCACTTATAATTCGGTGTCTATTTTTTTTTTCAATGTCGACCGGTGTGCATTTATATATCATACTCGTATTTAAATTATGAACGATTGATATTTGAATTACGAATAGTAATAATAATGTTACGAATGTCGCTCGGTCGATAAAATCAACGGCCGTAACTATATTACGTACTAGTAAGACGGGCGGACGGACGGACGGACGTGAACTAAACTAAACTCACGTTTGGAAACCTAGAAACGATCGCCAAAAAAATACGCCGGCTGAAGGACGAATAACAATAATAATATTATTATAGTATTATATACGTGCGCGCATAATATTATTATATTAGACACCGCGCGAGGGGAAAAAAACGCACCGACCCATTAAATTATTATGCGATAAATACCGGCGACCCTGAGAACATCTCTGGTTGTCAGCGGTATACGTGTATATATATATATATGTATAATATCTGACATTACGGTAAACTCCGAACCCCGGTAAACGGTTAGACCACGAGGATTTGACAGGGCATTGCCTTGAGTCCCGGACACGAACACTACGTATATTATACGCGTCAGCACGCTCGTCGAATTTCTCCGCTCCGGTAAAAATATTGCGTTCCGATCAAACAGCTGTCTATAATATATAACACTATGCCGACTCGAAATCCATCACTGCAGCGGACTCAAGGCTGACCGAGTAAACGAACATTATAATATACCGGCTGAAATCTGAATCACGTTAAGTTGGAAAGAACTTGGAACTTTACTTGGAAAGAACTCGTTAACCAAAGTTGATTTTCATAGTAAAAACAATTAAACGTGGAGTGGATTTTTCAAATGTGGGACGTAAAATTTTACATCGATTTGCAAAAACCGAAATTGTCGGCTGTTTACTTATACAAATCCGTCGTGTCGTTCTGATTAATCACAATTAAGTATATAGAGTTACTTTTCCGCGTAGAACTTCGATACCCGTTTTAAATCCCTAAGGTGTTGAATTTCTTAAATTACTTATCACTATTAGAAAGCAGGGATTAGTATTTCTGATCGAGCATCGTATACCAATGCAAAATATCACGTCATTATCCCGTTGGCCTATGTCGACGGATAATTGTTAATTCGTTTCAATATTAATCAGTTTTACATTAAAAAGAAACTATTTTTCCACGGGAATGTAACGTTCTTACTAGGATGAAAACAACATGTCACTTCTCAACTATCCCTATGCATCGGTAACTCGGTTGCGATGTAAAAGAAAGACCAAAAAAAAAACTAACACAACGTTCGCATTTATAATATCAGTATAGTTATTTTATACAGGTGTAAAATATTATTGCAAAAACGCGACCATGTTTAATTAACTCAGACATTTGTCGTCAGAGCTCGCGGGGCTCGCGATCGATCCTACGTGTGTTCTGGTTATACGATCGGCTGTACGCATATGTGCTGTTTCGGTTATGCGAGTTATAGAAATCATTTTTTTTTCCTCCGGGGTCCATATCGGTCGTGAACCCACTGGCCACTACTATGTAGGTTGAATGTAGGTATTATGTAAATGAAAAAAATTAATCGATTGGTTGGTTTAAGGCCGCTAAAAAAATCGAGTGTACACGATGTGATACATTTATAACGAACCAACGGTTTTCTCAGAGGATACGTTTAAGGTTTATTTCAAACGCCATTTTCAATTTTACACCCCCATTCCTAAAACTCGCTTAAATAAGCGTGCACTGTCGATTTTCAAACAGCAACTTTAAATCCCTCTCCAATCCTGTTCAAACACAGATTCGAAAATGAAGAACAATATTATCTAAAATTTCTCAACCGTTTACTCATTTTAAGATATATATGTATATAAGGAGTAGGGATAGACATTTTAAAATAATGTTAAAACTACGGTCGAACAGTTGTGGTACAACGATCGCAGGAAAAAAAAAAATGCAGAAATCGAATTCAATCAAATACTCCGAGCATCCGTTTGATGAATGTATCACTCTGTATGATGGGTGGGTACGCGAAACCATAGGCCCGTGTTATAATTTATAGCATAATAATTGTATTATATTATTGTTATTAATTACTATTATAATATTATCAGACGCCGTCCCGGACACGGAATACTCTCGAGATTGCCTGTGTATACAGGAACAATAATAATATACCCAACAAACGTTTCCGCCGTCATATAATAATAATAATAATAATAATTGACCGCCTCCGAGTATTGCATAACGCGCAGTCCGACTATACGTCGCTGTAATTATTATCATTTTTTTTTTTTTAAGTATTTTAATTCAATTAATTTCCGCGCCGGAAACTCGGTAGCTTACATAATATCGTGCGATAGTTTAAAATGATACACCTATATTTTATAAATGTATTATTGTATTATGTTATTACACGCCGCGGCCGGCAAATAAAAGTAAAACGTAATTATTGTAATTATTATTTATCACGTCATCCGTGATGAAAACTGTACGAAAATTGACATTTTACCAAAAAAAAAAAAAAACACTCGTATTTAACCCATTTATCAATAAATACAACGTCCGCTAATCCACTGTGAAAAAAACGCAAAGATAATAAACGATTATTTAGATACGGTGTATAAAAATGAGATAAAAAAAAAAAAAATTGTTTAATACCGACTGCGATTTTTTACGAAAATCTAATAGATATTATAGATACTCTCGCCGAATCGAGCGACGTTATATTATTATCCTTATATAATATTAATTTAGAAAAAAATCGAATCGTCGGCGCTAAAAATTGACAGATAAATAACGTTTAAATTATTATACACCTGGTAATGCAGGAGACGTTTCTCAATTTTTTTTTTTTTTTTTTATAATATACACCTATTATCACATAATCCTCAATTTATTAGGTTTTTCACAACGATAAAAGGTAATACAATATAATACTACCTATATACCAATAACCAATATGTTGTTTTTCGCGATCAAAAGAAATAAGAAGTACCAATGAGATACGATCGTTTTATTCACAACGTATTCATTAACGCGCATTTGTTGGGTTCGTTGGGCCAAAAAAAAAATGTATAAGATATATGATTACACTACTGTAAGATCTTTAGTGCCACAATCGTTCTTGTACACAAAACCGTAGTGTTTCATTTTACGTTTTTTAGTTTCTGAGCGCGACGATAGGGTTCTATTGGTTTGTTATTTTCGATTCGCATTTTCGGTACAGTCCGAGACAGACATCCGCGTCATCCGCTTCCCGTACAAAAAAAAAAAAAATAATAATAAAAACTGAACGCATTAGTATTATTATATTATTATATATATATAGTGACGACGACAACGATTTTGTGTTTCACCTGCAGGCGGCGAGTATTTTGACCTCGTCAAGTCGCGGGTCGTCGTGTGCGGAACACGCGGGAGGAAACGACGCGATTAGTCTCGGTCGGGGTGAATGCTATCGAATAAAAACAGAATAAAAATAACCGTTTCCCATTCCCTCGCGGTCATGGGTCAATTAACCTCCCTCGTTTAATAACAATAATAATAAGTCATCTCCGCCGGATAAGCGTATAAAATAATATATATATATATATATATATACGTATACTCATAAACTTCTGTAAACGTGACGCCTCCCACAATACATATATACTACCAGATAAAGACGTGTACCCAGGAGCTTTTTTCCCGTCTATATTTACTATACACGGAATATTACTGATATGTACACACTTTGGAACGTTAGCCGCGATTATAGTGAACCGATTGCGGTTCGTAAGTTCGACGAGAGATTAAAATTCTCTAAATATTATACACACGCGGTAGCCGATGTAATCAGTGTACGCCTCTGTACCATTGACGCGGCACGGAACTTCAGTGCTGGTGTCGCAAGAATAGAAAACGACGACGAGGACAACGTACGGCTGTCGTGTGCGGTATGACGAGTTTACGCGACTGACTAACCCACTGCGCGCCGACCGTTAAAGTCTCCGACAAACGCGCGGTCGGCGGTCACGATCTCTTTCGTCGGACGGTTCAAAGTACACTGACGTTTGTGGCGAGTGCTATCGATCATTTCGGTTTTTCTTCTCCATCGATTTCAGTTCTATGTTGTTGATGTTAATCAATTACAGATTTGTTTACTCGCGTGTTATACTATATTTTCCAGCGATACGATTTAAACTCTCTCGATCTTCATGACCATGACATTATACGTCCCGGATCTACATCATTTTGAAGTCTTTCAAATTTCATACACAGATTTAATTTTACGAAAAATCTCATCATTATCAAATATTTATTCGAATAAAACAATAATATTTGTCAAATGCCATGATGCCATATTATACAGGTAGTATAATTTTGTATCAAAGGCTGGGTATAATAATGATCCATGCAATTATATTCACGCGTAGTCAGCTGCAGTCCCATGCAGTGTATAGCAGATTAATTAAACCTTTTACACATCGTACTCACATAATATTTACAATTTGATTTGACTGGAAAATTACTAGATAATAGATTTAACACGTAAAGTCTTTATTAAAAACGATCCGGGAGAGTTTAACGTCTTACTGCAAATGAGGATGGAACGGTCAGAGTCTTCGCATTGTTGTACGCGCGTTTGATTTGAACGATTATAATTTATTCTCTTTGTTAAAAAAAAAAAAAAATCTGATAAACGTATGCCCGTATTTGGTTGGTATTTCGATAGTACGTGTGCGTGTTGTCTTTTATTAATTCAATCTGATTTTGAATTCAAAACACACGCGCGGTACTTACACATTATATTGTTACAATAGGTATCATAATATAAAACTGCGATTACGAATAACCTCGAGGTGTCGGATTTTTTAATTTAAAATACGTTTATCGAACGGATATTACGTACGGTCGCTTCGAGTACATATTATTCGCATCCACGCGTTACAATATGGAAACCTGTGCAACAGCATAAAACAAATAAACGAATTTCCGCATTCAACACGCCTAAAACGCAAGTATACAACAGTCAAAAAAAAATCCATCCGGAGATATTGTACGTAGTATTTAACGCGGGGAAACATGATACCTAAATCGTTTAATAAATATGGAATGTATTTTTTTTTATTAAAAAAAAAAAAACCCCTTATTAATATCGTCGCAGGAAAATTTTTAGATTCTAAGCGAACCGACGAAGAATGCGTTTTCTTCTGGATGGGCAAACAATATAATACATTAATACTATTAGGTATTAATAATAACTATAAAACCGTACTATTCATTGTTACGGGTCGAAAACAAAATAAAATAATTATAACGATACCGTAGAAAAATGTGAAGAATTTCGGTATGCCCTCATCGTCTACTCCAGATCCCGTCCCGACGCCGTGCGTACCGTGACCGCCACGTACAAATCCTATAGCGACAACAACATAACTTTTATGAGATCCATTGATGGAGATCGAACGGAATAAAATAGAAGAACACGATGTAAAAAAAAAAATTCGAACGGTCGTCCACGATGAAAACGCGACCGGACCGGACCGGACGACCTCAAGTGACTGACGGGACGTCGTGATAAACGGCAATCGTACAGGTCGAACAAAATGCACAACTATAATAATATACTCGTAGGTATTAGTATACCTACGCGCGTTTTCGATACCACGAGAAGATCGCTCGATAGTAAAATATAGAATTTCGTCGGATTCTGTTCGTCATAGTGTATACTCACACAAATAATCTATAATATGCGATAATTAAATCGATTCGACTCGTTTTTAACTATTTTGTTTTTTCGATCAATGCGACTATAGGGGTAGGTGTTTGTAATAGACAATTTAAATTGTCTGTACGTCGTCGTCACACCGCTGCCGAACGCATTTTATCGATCCCAACAGTGTTGCTCCTGTGTATAATATATTATGTAATACAGATACCAAAATCCAATATATAGAAGTATTAGCTGAATGATGATAGCGGAAATTTGAGCTGAAAAGTTTCAAATATTTTCTAACGAAACTTTCCGTGTAACTTTAAAAGTATTTCGAAAATATTAATTGGCAAAAATCAAATCAAATCGAATAACTTAACAAAACCAACGATTTATTAGAGCGGTGTAATAACTGCCGACTTTTATAATATTATAAATAACGCGTAGTTGCGAATCGTACAGAGACTTTAACGCGTTCTCGCACGACCAATATAATAATAATTATTATATTAATCAATTATATCAACTATTGGCTTAGAAAAAGTAAAAAACTGGAACGACGACAATATTAATTGTTTTATCGTTTTAACATTGAAAAAGACAACTCGGACAAGTGGGTACGCTCCGGTACTCCGGTGTAGGTATAATAATAACAATAATAATAATAATATTAAATACCTACGTAGGTATAATATAAATACGAGTTACGCCGGTCTTACGTATAAAAACGTACGACTCCGGATCTGCTTTGGCCATACTATACACAGCCGTCGATTAATTCGACGATATAATAATATTTTTATGTAAATCTATATGCCTTGAGCCGCGTGTACCCGCGCACGTACGATTATAATAATATATTACGGAGGACCCGCGAGAGCGAGTCCCACGACGTCGGCGGCATCGTATATTGTACGTCGTGATATTAATTGTAAACGACTTATACCTATACGCGTAATAATATCGTACGCTGAAAAATACGACGTCTCGAACCGTTCGCTGCGGTATACAAGTATACCCGAAAACCAGCACGAGACCACCGAGGGCTCTCCGTCCCCATATACCCGCGTCTCAAGAAAATATCGTATTACCTGTAATATATTATAATATCGTCTTACCACTGACAGAACATATCGAAACGTTCGATTTAACGCCGGTTTTCCGTTTGCTTTTTGTTTTAGAAGAGACCTGCGAAATTCAATTTCAGATCACTCGAACAACCGAACGCTCGATGTAGGAAAAAATCTTTAAATTAACTGTTATTCGGAAGCGTTTTCGTTATGACACGTTGACGACATGCGTTATTTTATAATATTATTCGTACAACAAATTAACATTTATTAAAAAAATTGAATTACATTTTTAAACAAAGTATAAACATAATCTCGAAAAACGTATATTTCCTGTGCAAATTCTATTCAAATTCGGGACATCGTTCGCGGGCAATATATTTTGTCCACCGTAAACACAATATAATGATAGTTGCCGTTCGCCCGTTCGAGTGTTTGAAGTTCAAATTTTCGACGATCGTCCTTTGTACATTGGTCATTCCGTTCACTGCAGCACCAGCAGCGTGTACCGCAGTGTAAACTTCGCGTGCGTGTGTGCTGACGCGTTTGTCATGCAAATGTCGTACGATATTTACACGGTGACGAGTGACGACGACCAAGGGCCCGGCTTCGCGGATGACCTCACGCCCAAAACTCGTGGGTACGCCCACCGCCTAAGCGTGTCGTCGTCGTCTTTACTACGGAAAAAACACGTATATTTACGAGGTACCCATAATACCTATTATTATAATGACGATATACATGGTGAAATAGACAGTTCTGCGGTCGCGCCAGGGTCAGAATAAAATGGACGCAAGAATTAAAATGTTTGTGTTTTTTTGAAAAAAAAGTCGCAATTTTATGAGTTAGATGTGGCCTTTTTTTCCGCTTATTAGTTAGATTGAATATGGGTATATTCTCCGAAGCGCTCGAAATGTTTTAATCCGGCCCTCAGCCACTCGTGAGATTTGTAATTTCGAACCCAGATATGTATGTGCTATATGTATGTTGGGGGGGGGTTGAGTAATGCGAAAACAATTGTTCAAATTTCGTTTCCTGTGTACTGAATACACTTGGATTTCGGATCCAAGAGCACTCCCCCTGCCGGCGTTTTACGCGGGATTTATCGGTTTTCCCGTGATACAATCGGATTATACTATGATGGTGTGTTAAATGTTTAAATGGTTTTACCAAATGTGTCTTGCCATTACACCTACTTATATTTCTCGAGACGCTTTGCCGAAGAACGATATCGGTACCGACCTCGAATATTTAAACGATCGTATTTTATAATGCATATAAAAAAAATAAAACCCCCGCTCGTTCTCCGTAAATTAATTGTACACGTTTTTGTCGTCCGTCCGCGTACCTATAAATATGCGATGATATTATCGTGTGTCCCGTCTAACCGGAGGTCATTTTTTTTTTTTTGTTTTCTATCCATAAACTCCCCTTACCCCGTCCCGACGTATATAATTTATATTAACAATATTATAATGCATCGTTGGAAACGTTATACCCTCGGACGCCCCACCCCCGATACCGTCGAGACACGTTTCGAATTCGACACGCGATGTGTATCCGAGTGATACTTGCACCAGTGTGCGGTATGCACTGTACTCTGTATAGTATGAGGTCGGCGGAGAAGTGTGCGTAAAAACGTCTTCAAGACTGCGACGACAGACGGTAAAAAAAAACTACCATATATCGACTGGGGCGACATTAAATAATATTACATGTTGTAGACCTACACGAATTATAGCGGAAAGCGTTACAATTTTCAGTGTTTCAGAAAATAATATGGTTAGAAGACAATAATAAAATTACCATGTAGATTTGGATCGTCGGAGGAAAAATGATTTCGCTATTTAAATAGGCAATAGGATATTGGGTTTTTGAATAATTTCATTTTATCCCATAGACCTTTATTATAATAATTGCTCCCCCATGACCAACCCGATAATGTGGTTATTCGCCTGACTCATGGGACGAGTTTATTTTCAATTGAAATTCTGACATAAGCGAACGCGTTCGTCAGATAGTAGCGTGCCCAAGGATTTCAAATGGAAAGGGATGCGATAAATAACAACTACGATTCGTGAATAAATCGTAAAATCTTTTACTGCCATACTTAACTCGTTAATGAGAATTTAAAAGTCGGATTCTAAGAAAACAATATGTATTCAATAAATCAAACTGTTTTCCTTGTCAGTTGACTAAAATACATAATTTCAAGACGAATCTACTAAATAAATACTCACAATTGTTGCATTTCTAAGACAATGGGGAGAGACTAACCCTTCATGCTCAAGCCATTGCGAATTCGGACGACCACATCACTACTATTATTATTCCCGCATAATTTTTCTAGATAGATAGCGCCACATTCACGGATAATATTACTTAAATATAATATATAATAGTATCGTACCGGCTGGTTTACCCGGCGTCGACCGCATTTTCAGCTTTCGACGGCTCGTGCTCGCGTCATTGTTATATGGCAAAATATTTCGTACGATATTATAATATTATTATTGAATTTGAAGGACTTTTGATATCGCTCGAATATTATACCGACGACGACGGTGCGGTCCGCACTCGCGGCTGCAGTCATCGTAATAATAATAGTATAATAGTATACGCGCGCGTACCTCCGGAGGCTGCGGTTTTGCGGCGAATTTTTTGTTTCTTTTATTTCACTCGTCCACCACCGTCCGATACGGTCTGAACCAACCGAATTTCGCCGCACAATAATAATATAATATAAACTAGGTCTGACCGAAAAGCCCGGCACCGGTTATCCCGTGAAAACCGCGACTGCAAACGACGACCCAAATAAGTACCTGCTCGTGTCGGACGAAAACCGCGAAGCCAGTCCGAAATATGCATTAATAATAATATTTCATATTGTAAGTTATAATTGTGATTACATAAAAAATTTTGAACTGACAAAATCTGCATAAGGTCGACGAAAATACAACTGCAGTATCGCAGATTTTAGAAGCAAAAATTGAATATTATTACGCTATCGACGTACTGCAGTCGCGATAATGTAATTGGTACCCCCACGCCAAACAATTCTGATGGGTTTAATAGTATTAAGTATTTAAAAAAACGAAGCGCAATCGATTTGTAGTATAATATAGAAACAAATTTGTCGGACTGTGATCTAATCTAATCTGGAAAGGTCATAGATTTCCAAGTTTAGTCGGTCGTAATCCACAGAACGGATCTACGGGTAAAACGAAAAATCATGCTGGAGGCAATACTGTGAACAAAACAATACTTCATGAAAAAATGGTTCTTTTTTTTTTTTTTTTTTTTCATTAATTCTGATCTAAGCATGATGTGTACTTACAGTGTTACATAAAGTGCGAACAATACGTATCGAACAGAAACGTCGCTTAAAATTTACCAACTTCGGTGACGGTCACTGAAGACCTTCCTGGTTGGTGCATTGGGCAAATAATTTATTGAAAAAACAAAAAAATTGAGCGCAAATAGGTTATTTATTTTTATAGGTGACGTAAGATCACTAAATTTGACAAAATGTACGTTAAAAAACACGATCAATTATTGTTCGCGCAGAATCGTTATTTGTTTACACTAATTTATCGCCGAACTCAACAGTAGGCATTTAAATTCAATGTTTCCTAATATGTATCATTTTTTCCCTTTGAACCGACAGTAGTGATGTACCGGTGTGAATATTATTATCCCATCGTCCCGATTGTGGCAACTTTTCACCTACAGCGGTGACCTATACCTTATATAGTAGCGGCCGTGACATTTTTTTTTTTTTTTTTTTTCTTATTGCTATTTCGTTTCCTGTACATAACCATTATGCGCAGCTAGGCCGCTGTCACCCCGGACAGATAATAATTTATACAGGAACAATAATATAATGGAGCTAGGGGGAAAGGTGAAAGTTCGCCGCTGGCGCCGCGGTAAGAGAATGACACGCTATAAGAAGCACCGAAAAACGTGTTTTTTTTATTTTTACGTAACAACATTTTCGAACGCACGTGATTCCCGAGTATAGTTTAATAATATAGGTACGCGCATCGGCATCGATAACGATGGTACACTTCACGTGTATAATTATACAGGGTGATCGATATTATAAAGATAATAATATCAATACAATTATTGGACATCTAATAGATATAAACAATACCTTTTAAATTATACAGAAATAGTAAAAATAATAATAATGGTAAACCGTTACAAACCGGAGGATCAAAGCTACTGGAAAAGCTCCCAATTCGTTTTTCACCAATTGGATTGAAAATCAACAGAGAACTTCTTTCGAGGCTAATAAATTAAACGTTTAGCGAAAACTGCATTCGTACGAGGAATAGGGTGCGTATGTATAATCAGTACTTAATAAGTATAATGTTCCAACTCATCTCTGAGCAGTGGCGCCGAACTCTATATTCAGGTAGGGCAAATGCCCTACTTCATAATATTTTGGTGGTGGGTGGGTAGTTCAGTGATTGGGTCAGCGTGTTTACTCATAGTATATTACAAATACAAATAGTTTACAATCAACTCGTTAGTATTCAGGTAGAATTATTTACGTAGCCTACAGTCTAAAACCACGATCATTATAGTTAATTAATATAGTAGCATAGTATAGTAGAACATAATATTTGTGTGGTGATGTTTGAATAGTCGAGTTCTTTATTTAATTTTAGACTCCAGATTTTGAAAAATGTACGAGTGCCCTAGATGTCTCGAATTTCAATAATTTCCCTACACTTGAAAAAAAATCTATAATATGTTTCGTAAATACAGCTACTCATTGTTAAGACATGAACGTGATATTAATATCGGTCATCATATCGGAGTTTTTTTAAAACTTTGAAAATCAAATATTTAGTTGGTGTTTGTATTACATCTACTCTACACCATCCGGTCTAATATCTAACGGGTGTTTTATACCCTAAACATATTCTTATACGGCACGGGCGCCCATATCCAAAAAACGACAAACTATGGATATAACTAATACTTTCTGAGATAACGAGTGTCTTGCGCGCCATGTATGCCGATCGCCCTGTATAGGTAATAGTAGAGTATCGAATCAGAGTGGATACCGTGATTATAAATTATCGTTGCTATATAGCTCGGATCGACGCGATCACGATCTCCGCCGTCTTGACACCAGGAAGTCGGCGAACCCGCAAACAGACGAGCGTGTACGCAGCGCGGTGTAAAGAGTATATCGACCTTGTTGTTGTTACGCGGACATTATTGTGAATATGTGCCACACCTCGCGCGTGCGTGCGTGTTTTTTAGTGTGTGTATATATGTGTGTGCACGTTTGAGTGTGTTTTTAACATTTTTTTTTTTAAGTACGTGTGGTTTGTGTGTGTATGTGTATGTGTGTGTGTATGTCAGGCACACTCGTTTCCATAATGCAAAACCCGTAGGCGTCGCGGGATTTGCATCGGGAGACGCGCGGCGTTTTCCTCCTCCGCGTCCGGGCGATATTTTTTTTTTTTCGTTCCCGACAGTTATTACGTAGCGCGTATATTTAGATCGACACCGACAAGACTTACGTACCTATATACCTAAATAATATATGTGTATAAAATAATAATATATTAGCGACGACGCCCGTGTGTTCTTTTGTCCGCACTATCGTAATATTATTGCCTATAGCAACCCCCGCCAGCAGCAGCATTAGCAGGACGATCGTTCTACAAAAAACTAGTTATTCGTCGCGGCCGCTGATATAATTATTGCGCATACATTAAAATACAATAATAATAATATTATTAATATATGCTATACTGCAAATTGCAGTGTCTCGGACCGAAATGGAAAATGGGAATAACGATTGCGGTTTTCTCGTTTGAAAACGCCCATGTATAGCGCGACGCCATTCCTATAATATATTACTCGAACCGTGTTGGGTAAACGTACACTCACGTAATGACTTGATCGAGCCGAGCGAAATACACAGAAGGAACGTTCGGTTAAAAGTTAAAAGTCGACAAAAAAACTACACGGTATGAACTACGGTCAAGTTTAACGTACGAATTCAAATGTTCAAAACAACGTTCAGTGAAATTATAATTTAAGTTTAAACGAACAAACATTTTTTGACTAGACTTTGACATTAAAACTCGTTAATGCTAGAAGAGAACCTATAGTCCATTGCAACAAAAGCTGCTCTTGTCGGCGTTTCACAAGACGCTCCATTTCGCGATTACACTGCAGTGTACTCACAGCGTATTATCACACTGCCGAAGTGACGAAGTAAGCGAACTATTACAGCGTCACCGGTTACACGCCCGACACTTGTGTGTGGTAGTGTTAGGTCATAGTAGAAGCCTCGAATGGACGTTAACCGTGGCGGGCGGACAATAGAAAACGATTGTCTATAGTTGGCCGATATTTTATTTTATAGACGCCTTATAGTTTATTTCCGTCGGTAAACCGGAATAAATTGTTACATTTTCGAATTTAGTCGGGTTAAGAAAAAAAAAAAAACCGTTTTGTTAACGTTCTTTTTCCGACTATTAAGGGAAAATATCCCCGTATCCAGACAAACGCAAAACGCGTCACGTAGCATAAAATATTACGTATTTGACGTACGTGTCCTATGCACAGGTATATAAATATATATTATATTTCAGCGATTATGTATTTATTTTATAGGCGCGTGGATTGTTGCGGTACGTACCTAGGTATTATTCATCGGGGCGTGTACCTAAACAATAATATACCGCAGTTGCAATTTCATATTATAAGAAAAAATGTACGATTTAAGTGCCGTTTCCGTTTCTGGGAGACCATAAATATTAATATTGTAATACAGGCAGAGGTATACCTACGTATAATGTTATTACAATACGCGACCGATAAATTACACGGTTTAAGCTCCGCTATGCAGCGCACGGGTGTATTTTTATTGATAATCTATTTGAGTCTCCTCTCGGCAGCACGGCGAATAAAACATTACAACGACGTTTCGGTACGTCGTCGTTGTCGTCGTCCGAACTGCGGCTCACTCGTAATATTATTATTGTATTATACGTCGTGTATATTCCAACGGTATACGACGACAACGACGTCGGAAAGATGCATTCTTTCCTTGTATGTTTTTTTTTTTTCGTATTTTTTTTTTCTCTAGAAATTACTACAAAAAAACAAAAATAAAACATCTCGGAGAATTTAAATAGCCGCGCTCCACCGCATAAAAATGCGTTTCGTCGCACACCGTGTCTCCCCTCGTCGCCTTTGTTACCCGCCATGTATTTTATCTACGTATATAGTATTATACACACACACACACACACACACACACATTTACGTGACATCAACGCTGGTGCATGAACGCGACCGATGGACCGTGAGAAAGTCGGTCTGTGCCAATGATATCATAACACTTCAATAATAAACGTATTTTATTTTTTCGTCGTTGTCGAGCGGATTCCGCGGACATACCCCGCTCGTACCCCGACCACTGTCGATCCGTTTTTATTCAGTTTTTAACTTACCTAATCGTGCATACGCGTTTATTTGCGCGAATAATCCTTTGAAAAACGACGCCTGTTCTCGGTCAACAATAATAAACAAACGCAATATTTTCACCCGCTCATCCACTCGGGATTTAATTTTTTTTTTGTAGAATTTCCTCCGAAAATATAGAGACTGTGGATGAGCTCGTGGACTCGCGGGAACTTGAGTTACGGTAGGTAGTGTTTTTTTAAAGTTTTGTACGGTGCCCTAGAATCATTCTCCAAAAAACGAAGCTAGGTGATGAAATGTATACGCGCGGCGTTAAATATCAATAGATTGTGCCTTTCGGAGGTTTCAACTATCGTCGACCAACCATTTTTAAGCTCAAATTTCACCATTTTTTTTCTTTCTTCGGAAGTAGTATAAAATAGTGTAGAACAGTATAGTTCTTTGCTACGAGTTATTATAGTAATTCAGTTATTTACAACGACTATAAAGGGTGTGCCGCGAGGTTTCGACAAATTCAATAATTTTTGTTCTATTCAATATTTTTGATATGTTTTTTTTTTTTTTTAAATAATTAGTATACCCCAGCGCTACAGTTCATAAATTAACATTTTTTTTTTGTTTTATGGGGACTTAAAATTTAAAATTCTTTTATAATTTTTTGAAAAAAAATTCAAAATAGCCATTTTGTAAAATAGATTTTTAGAAAATGTTTGGTGGTGGACATTTTTGTTTCAAGGTATGGTCATTTCATTTCTAAAATTTAAATTATTTTATCTTTGAAATACAAAGTAGACAGAGGGGAAATTCTACTTTTATAACCGAGTTATGTTGCTCACTGTTGTTTTTTATTATTATTATTTTTTTTTTTACGAAAACGACCGGTTCGCCGCGTGATGTCAATCGAACGGGCATCGAGTTTGACCACTTTCGGTTTTCGGGGATTCGTCATCGTCAGACAACATCGTCTATAACGGCGATAAATAATAATAATAATAATAATCTACACATCAAATACCGCAGACGTATTCATTACCTACATATTAATCTGCGCGTCATGCGACGAAATGCGCGATCGTTCGCGAGCCGTTATAAACAATCTGTTTTTTTCCCCCGTCGTCGTTTTCGCACAGCCGCAAGATGACCGATGCCGTCCAATTAGTGTAGATTAAATTTGTGTTATTTTTTTTTTCACCACTGTGATTATATTTTATAAAGCACACGGCGGTCATCAAAAGATACGATTATTACGGCACAAACCATACTGCCATACTGTAAGATTAAAAATAGCAACACGTATATAATATTATATACAACAATGTATACAAATAAAACAATTTACTGTAATCATTTTTATTGCGTTTGCAATTAGGCGGGTAAAAAAAAAAAACAATGTAATCAAATATTTCTTAACACGCGCGTGGTGTCTTAAAAAGTATGTTCTCATTCTTATGTGTATACATATAATACCCGTATCAAAACGGAAAAATTTGAAAAAAAAAAATAACATCTTGACATTCATTATAATATTATTGCAGTATTCCGAAGCCGCGTCAAAAACTATCGATCAGGCCGATAAAATGACGAACCGAGGTTTTTGTTTTCGTTGGTTTGACGTATTATGCGTTACCTTAGCTAGGCGAGGCGATACCGCAATAATATTATATGTATAATTATTAACAGTTTTCCTTGTCATTTTATCATTAAATATAAACTCGTCTATCGATCTGTTAATCATTTTCGATTATCATTGCAATAATATTATAGTTATTCGATTCTGGGTGCATTGCGAAAGAGCTACACGTTTTATTAAGATGTGTTTTATCCCCCTGGGAACAACATTTCGCCTTGCGGTTTAAAAACGATGCACCAACTTGTTCACGCTGTACGATAAAAATTATGGATTTTCCACCTGACATTACGGCAGTACTTTAAATGACAAATTATTAGTCTAAATACTCCAAAAAAAAAAAAAAAAAAAAAAAACAGATTTTTACGTTTTTCTTGCAAATACATTTGGATAAGTACAATGCTTCAATCTTTTCACACGGTTACATTAAAAGAAACGAAATTTTTGCTCAGTAATACTTTACTTGAAACATTTTCGTCTAGATTCCTAAGGGTTTTTTCTGAAAAATAAAAAAAAATAACGGTAGTATATATTGTTTTTTTTTCTGTTTATTTTCGGGTTATATTGGTACCTTGGCTATACGGCGATAATACCAGAACTTTGCCGAGCTAATATTACCGAGCTCCTCTCAAAATCGTATTTTGATTACAAATGATTTATCGTTACTGTCAGTGTACAATCTAAATTATACGGAACGCTCACTGTATATAATATGCTATACAGTCCAAATTACCTACCTAAAATCGAGCTACCTATGGTATGTCCGGTATTTAATTATTATATAAAAATGATTAATAGTAAAGAATGCGTTTTTTTTTTTTAATATTTTTACATCGATATTTCCGTAAAATAAACAGTTTGACGTTTTTGTTTTTAATTAAGAGATGAAATAATAATAATATCAAACTACACTGTCATATATTTGGCCATGTCATTGTTTTTTTTTTTAATTTTACGGGTTACTCGCAGCCGGTGACACAGAAAATCGTTTACCTACTGCGCATTTTTTCGCGTAAAATTCGTGTATATTTCTTATTACAATAACGGTATACTTATATAGGTATCGTTATTGTTATTTTAATAATTTCGATAAAAAAAAAACAAAAAACAAAAAAAAACGAATTTGAATCGAAAAACAAAAAAAATAAATAAATAAACCTAAGCGAAAACTATTGATTGTTACACCGAAACTAGTACAGCGCGAAAACGGGAATGAACAAATCTCCAAAACGTTGTGCGAGCCGGTGACACAGTTTTTATTTGTATTTTTATTATTTTTTTTTTTTGTTTCGTTTTGTTTCCATATATTTTATGCAAATGTGAGCATGTCAATAAAAACAATAATAGATATATTGAACAATAAATACCACAGTCGAATAAACACATAGTCTTCAGTGAAAAGTTAAAATGTGAAAATAAATTTAACGTGATTAAGTTGGCAAATAAAAGTTCACTAACGTAAACAACGTACACGATGTATTCAATACTTATGGCAATACTTTCGTAATTTTCTTTTTGTATAATAAATTATCACGGAATTACAAAAGTCTTGACTGTTCGTCGTCGATACATACTTTGACCGACTTTATAAAAATTATTTGTTAAAAGTTCAGCAATGAAGACTACCCACAATTTGTTCGTATAAATTTATAAAATATAAATGTTCGTAACGAAATCACCGTTTAACTTTACCGAATTTCCACCGTAGGATTTTTGATTATTGATAAAACGACAAAATAACGATAGAATTGTGATAAATTCATAATTTAAACAATTCACGGATCAATAGTGAATATTCTTTTTCCGGATGATTGAGAAATACAGTGGCTCATCCAATGTGGTGTATCCATTTTCTCCTCCGTTTTATCCATAATCGTGGTTTTTCATCGGCTAGATATTAGGTTTTTTAGGTTTACATTTAGTACACTGACTTTCTTGCATGAACGTTTTAATGTTTGAACAAACACGCGGAACGCTTATTGGTTGATACGTTCATATGGCGTGTACCATAACGAGCGACGGGTTTTATGCGAAATGGTCGTCCATTTTTGTGAGAATTTCGGTGATAATAGTGATAAATCACCCTTGACGCGAAAATCCTCATCCGAAAAAGAGTGCTGAACAATTAGGTGGCCGGGAATCAAAACTTAGTCTCTCGCACTACCACTGACTTCTAACTCTAAATTATTTTAACTGGTTTCGGGCGGAAGGAGAAGTGGCCGCGTGTACAGTCGAAGGGTTGGCGATTTGACGCTCGGGGACCGTGTCAATCTATTTTTTTTTTTTTTTTTTACCACCATAACATCCGTTACCGAATATTTGATAATAATATCATAGCAAAATAATATGATATGTGTAAGCGATACGATTGTAATCGCCACAAACACGGCGGAAAATGATCGCACCGATATTACATTATAACTGTCCGACTTGATTCGTCTATCTTCAGCCATCTAACTACGATTCAATCTATTAATATTCTTACTCAATGGTAAAACAAAAACATCTTGCAGTTTTTTCTCTCTATTCTATTATACACGTGCATACATAAATTATGAAATCGATATCTCTATACATGGTATTGAACTGCGGGCAAATCGGCGTGCACATATAATATTGTCCAATATTATTGTTATTATTATTCGTTCGCCGGGATACCCTCTCGCACGCGGCCATCTGTTCGGTTCGCGTCAGTCCGAGGCCGACCTAGGCGTGTTGTTTTTTTTTTTTTTACCGTCGAGGGCAACGGTACGCGTTCCCACACGCAGCCGTTCGCTCGAGTGTCCAGAATGAATGCAGGCAGGTACAGGTATACACGAGTGTAAAGTAGGTAGATGCACCGGTGGCGAGAGGTGAAAAAAAAAACAACGGTTACGCAATATATTTTATTGACGCCGTTTATTATTGTTAAAAGAACGATCGAAAAAAAAAACCCATCACTAAACGCCAACACGCAACTGTAATACGGCCGGCACGAGTCCGGCGCGGTAATAGCAACAGGTAATAGTATACCATTATAATATTGTAATAATACCGATAACGCACTGCGGATTACATCCAACAATATTATTATTGCCCGGGAACGTGATAACGACCGGCCAGAGCAGTGAAAAACCGTAACCTCGAAAAAAAATGAAACAATAACAATCATCGACTGTTGAAATTTTTAATTTTATTACCGAAATCAATCGACGGATGGACTTGTACGGAAATTTGCGGATATAGCACAAGTTTTCGAGTCATCGCGTGTCGGATGTAGGGTGTTGTTGTATTAGTCGGGTGTTTGGAACATCACTGCGAAAATGTGTTCCAAAAAATGCGGCTGAAAAACGCAAGTCTGGTCGGGGTGAAAAGGTTTAACTTTTTGCTTAGTTTTTAACCTTTGATTTTTTTTATTAACTTTGAATTGACTTGACTTGGTTTTGTTTTACATCAACTTATTTAATAACGAGTTCATTTCAATTTCTTTTGACCTGAACACAATCGCTAAAGGTTTGACCAATAATATGCCCGGAATTTCGAGTTTAATATAAGTTCATTGAATTTTCGAATTTACTTCGAATTTAATGAATTCATGAAAAATGTCCATCGTTAACTTTTACAGCCTTGAAGAAATGCGCAACACCGTCAAATGCCGCCGTATCGATCGTCATCGTAATAATATCGAACGATATGGCCCGGAAAATAAACGTGTGTTTTTTCGGAGATACAGACTTTTGTTTTTTCTTTGATTTGCGACGGTGAAAAACCAGCGCACCGTGCATGCGCGTATAAAAAACGGACCGCGTTTCGCCCCAGAGATTACTGGGCGAAATAAAATGACGTGACGACCGCTCAAGGACAAACATTCATAATAATAATAATATAGTATTTATTTTTATTTTTATTTTTTTTTTTTTTTTAACCCGTTCATACGGTAAAAATATAAACTTACCCGCGCCCGTATATCCATCATATGTATGTATACAATTTGCATCTATACGTGTGTACAGCGAGTATTATCTTCATCCTTTTGTTTCACTTTCACTTTTTTTTCCACGACGACCCGCTCTATTGCTAATTGCCGCGACCTACTTATGCAACTCGCGGCCGTTCTTCCTCGCGCAGTTCTACGCCACCCGAGAATAAACGACGACGTGTGTAGGTACCTATCTGTGTAATAATATTAATGATTACTATGCACCGCAGAACTATAAATGACGTGCAATAACGTAATGGGTTTTTTTTTTTTTATATTTTTTTTTCGAAGTTTATTAACGTCCGCGCGTGTGTAAAACAACAGCGTACAAACAGATTAATACCCGGTTAAATATTGTCCGCTTCCGCGGTAATTTCGAGGGGAAAAAAACCAACAGACCGTTATAATAATATCATTCGCGGCTGGTCAAACGAATTAATTATATTTATTATGGGTATCTATACCGGCAGCCGCAAGGCTGGGGCGTTTACGACGAGTTAAAAGTCGAAAAGTCAAATTAATTTCAATTACGTTACTATTATCGTACGTTCACGATTTTTCTCCTCTGGATTCCGAATGGATCGAAGAAGTTATGTATACGATGTATAATGGATTTTTTTTTTTGTTTTACTGTTAGGAGTTTTTGTGTGTGTGTGTGTGTCTGTAAACAACTTTTGTCGATACCAGAAATCTTGCCCCGATTAAAAACTGTTCAAGAACTATATCTTGTCAAGTTTTTGAACCATTTTGGTGCATTTAGGAGATTTTAATTTTATTTTACTCGTAGTTTTCTTAATAAATGGGAAAGACTGACGAATTTTTGTCAATAATAACTACGACTCATTTTACTCTGTTTAGTAATGCAGTACCGCTGAAAATTGTGCACACCGTAAAACATGCGGATTTTCTGCCGGTGGAAATTGAGCAATTCTAGATTTCCGATAGTTTTACAATACCACTAATACGATTTTAAAAAACAACGACAGATGTATTGTCATTTCAATTATTTTTTCCCATCACCGTTTAATTATTTCTGTATTCTCTTGGTTGTGTAGATTGATATGAAAAACAATCGATAAAACTTGATTGAACTCCAATAACGATCGTCATTAATTGTGTGCAATAACTTACCGTCGTTAATAAACCAATGATAACGAAATGTATGTCCAACTTTTTTAAATAAACTTCTTCCTAGCTATTAATAAAATATTAAGAACTTTTAACTTAAACCAAACAAATATCGATAATTTTGAACTTAAATTCGTGTTTTGCGTAAACTTCTCCACTTAACGATTTAAACGAATTAGTTACAAACTTATAACTTATGCAATCTTGTTAATTAGGTACACATTACACGAACAAGATTCGTTCGTATTTACCATCTATATTATAATGTACGGAATTGCATAATATAATTAGTGCAGTTTCTGTAAAACTACGAAAGCGAAAATAATTACAGATAGGTACCAAGCGGATTGCGAATAACGCGGGAAGAATATTCCGTTGAACGATAACAATTAAAAATATAATTGTGAGGCTAGAACAAAAAAATACAAATTTTGTTTTGCTTTTATAATTAATGCAGTAAAAACTCTCGGCGGGTTCCTCTGCGGGTAACTTAAACGCATTTTAAGAGGATATCAGCGTGAGTGCGTTTTTGAACACAAAAACCGTGCGTTGAAAAATTATTCCGTCTCAAAATAATTATGATTTAACGTAAAAAAGATTAGAATACAACTTGAAAAACAAAAAAAATATCTAGTAAATGTATACAAAAAAAATTACAGATTTTGTAAAACAGCGACCATTGCAGTACATTAATGTGTCCGTTATATTATCTCTCTCTCTCTATATATATATATATATATATATATATATGTATATATGTATATATATTTTACCCGTTACTTTTGTTCACCTCTAGTGGCCCTCTCTGGACCAAATGAGCTCAAATTCGTGCATTAAAGTTATCTTTTAGGCGAATTGAAGTGACAAGGATTGAATTGCAATATTAATTTAAACACGTTATTGTAGTGGAAGCAATTTTTAAAACACGATACTACGGTAGTATTATGGTGAATCTTCCAAAACCCAACAACATTTATCAATACGGATTGACGAGGTAACCGCTAAATGTAATTCTCGAGATTTTACATTCGGAAATAATATTAAAATCACTACCTGTTCGCTTGTACTTGGTGTACTGGTCGGCATCGCCCGTGTCAATAAAATCGAACGTGAGCAAAAAAATAAAAAAAAAAATTATAATATATGTTGATTATATAATATATACACGACACGGTGCGTTGCAGTTATATCGACGGAGAACAAAATAAATACCTATTATATTATCGTATATGCAGGAGACTTTCGCTTATGTTTCATATTTCAGCCGAGTACTATCGCGTATTAGAAGAAAAAAAAAACGATAATATTTCGTTTGGATAGTATAGCTGTTATTTTCGGAAAGTATTACAAATACTGGGATATTTTATATTTTAACAAAAACCGCGAAGTATTTTTTACTAAAAAAAATTTCAATCTATCCGAATAATACTTATGTTGTATTATATACCTATATAATTATAGAAATTTTTATGTATACAATTTTCTGTATTTAAACGATAATATCGAGTATATTATACTTAACCGACTAAACCGGCGATTTACTGTCTTAGAGGATAGTGGGCCGCAGTCCTTGGTTGGACCGTGGGGCGGTGCCAAAAAAGATCACGGACTATAGAAGACAATGAAACAGAATCTGCTCGCATTTATGTTTGTTTTTTTAATTCGAATAGAAACATACAATATACTCGAATTTAAGCATTTAAAAAAAAAAAAAAAAAAAAAAAAACAGGGCATTGGCTAATGAGACGGGCCGCGTTTACATCTGGGATAGCATCTGCCCAGTCCGGCCCGGTTAACGGATCGCATAGTAACCACGAATTCGGACGTGCGCTTTTGATTTTCGATCGGAATAATCAGGCAACGTAGGTAGGTGTACGATCCGGAAATCCCAGTCATTATTATAATTATTTGATCCACGATTCAAGTGCGTCTTTCATCCGGCGACGGCGGTTCGATTCCCAGACCATCGCTGCGCCACCGTTTGTAAGTCGAATCCCTTTCACTTCGATAAGAATCGGCTATAATATTACGTCATTAAATTGTAGCGGAAACGCGTGTTAACAATGATTCGGAAAATAAAATAAAAACACTTTATTAACAAGACTTTCATTTTTTGTACGTGTATATTATGCCAAGATACTCTTTTCGATAAACCGAAAGTTCGTTAAAAATACACAAACAATAATAATACGATCGCGCGGACGAGAGTTATTATAATAAACAAATTATTATATCGGTTTTTAAAAATGACTAACCCGTTACAGTATTGTGTAACGCCGGATTTAATGGTCCGAACGCCGTCTGAAACAATCGTCCAAAATTACAAATATATAATACAGTATCCAACACCGTAGTCTTCTGTTTAACGATTTGAAGTTGTTGCGGAGACGCCGCCGAAGAGTAGGTATGTGTCGGTATATACCATCATTACTCTTCAGAAAACCGCGTCCATCCATCATTGTCAACATCGAGATACGCGCCTACTTTTTTTTTTTTTTATTACAAAACTATTAAACGTACCCTCTCAAAATATCCCGTGTTTTCATAACGTTCCAAGTTCAATATATCACACCTCTACGAACGTTAAAAAAATAATAATAATAATAATAAAATACAAAAGTATATATCAAAAGATATTTTTGCCATTTGGTACTCTGTTTGAAACATATATCTATATATAAATATATATATATTCCCTAAGGGTTTTTTTTTTTTTTTTTATAAAATTTGAAAAACTACCGAAAACAAATGACCCGGACACGTCAGTTTTTGTTTCTGGGTTACTTTGGCTGCAAACAAAGAGTTATAAAACTTTACTACTGAAGTTCGATCAGAAGAACGGATAAACGGTCAAACGTAAAACACAAACAGGAAGAGGATGACCCAGGAAAGCATTGATTATCGAATACATAATGAGATTATGAACCGGTTGCATCCGATATGCTGATATAATACGAAGAGATTGGCGATGAACAGTGAAGAACGGACATTCAGATCTGCATCGATAAGGCGCGGCCTTTCGTGTGATAAAGAACAAGGGATACTACCAATAAATTAAAAGTACTACTCTATTCAAAATCGTTGTTTGATTTCAATTGTTGATTTCGGTACATAAATTAAATTGCTCTATATCCTCGTATTGTTCAAACGGTCCACCTAAAATGTCTTAAATATATTAATTATGACAGAAGTCTCGGCAATCTTGTAACGTATCATGGCAGGGTCGTCATTTCGTTGACACAAATGATACTGTTTTGTTTGAGGTTATATTTCAATTCTTATCACCCGGGGTGGAAGTGATTTTTGCCCAACCTATGATTATGAAGCGCGTTATTTTAAGGGCGCGCTTGCACACGCAATACGAATCTCGTGGTTTCTTGCTCAATAACGAAACTATACGAAATTGATACGGACCGTAATTGTATTACAAATAATTTGTTGCATTTATGGAATATGTGTTACATATTTTTTTTTTATTATTATTTTTTTTTTTTCAAAATAAATAAAACAAAGGCTCTGCAACGTTACGAAACATACGTTCGGCGAATACAATGACATATAACAACATATATATGTATATATATAGAAATAAGTTACAAAAATATATACCTACGTTTGTTTTTGTTTGTTGTACGAATGTTCGAAAGAAATTAAACTGTGAATGTTATTGCACCGGTGCAGTTCCACTCGAAACGGTTGAGGTGTTTTACGCGCCGCCGTACATTATATTACACCGAAAACGGAATGATAATAATATTGTGTCGGCGGGCGTGTAGTGTACACGGGTATGAATATTTTCTAAAGCGGGTTTTTTTTTTTTTTTCGTAAACCACCAGGTAACACGTAACACTACTCTTGTGCATTTCTGTCGAGCGTTTCGTGCAATACCCGTGCGCTATACCCACGTGCGATTAAAGAGAAAAAAAACATTATATGTACGATATTGTAGAGCCGCGGTTATTCGCGTATGGGCGAATTTCGAGTGGGAACATAAAGCAAAAAAAAAAAAAAAATTAAAAATATATATCGTGCGCGATTAATCTCCGAACGGTGACCCATTCGTCGTCGCTAACACCGTCGTGTACGTACGAGGAAAATCGTCCTAAAGAAACCCGTTTCGCCCGTACTTTAATAATAATATTATAAATAATGCGTTTTCGATCCTTCGGCACGAAACGTTATTATACAGCCAGCCGTCAAGAACGGCCCACGTGCGAATAATAAAAAAAAAAAACAAAATGTCGAAAACCTTTCGGAGGCGATAACGGCGACCGGGGCGGAGGGTACGTGGGCAACGACGACGATAATAATATTACGTATATAACGCTAAATAATAATATTATACCTAGAGATTCGATCGTCGACACACACACACACACTTGCGATAGTGTATTATGATAATTGTAAAAAAAAAAAAAAGGAGTAGTTAGTTATAAGGTAAACCTATATGACGATAAGTGTCTGTTTGTAAGTATGTGTATATATTAAAAAAAAAAAAAAACAAAAATAGCGTAGGCCGAAATATCCTTGCCGATCTCGGCGCGCGCGGTTAGGTCGGCCCACGCTCGAAAATCGCGTATGTATGACGCGCGAACGGGCGTGTGAGGTCATCAAACCGGCGATGCCGTCATTTCGTTAAAATTAATTTTTCTCTCCCCCCTCTCATTATTTTTCACGACCATTTTCGGAAATTTCCCGCGGTCTGTGCAGCTACTGCAGCGGGCATTGCCGTATAGGCGACGACCAGTAGCGGATTTTCAACATTTTTCTGGTAGGGGTCCTGAAAAAATTGTTTCTATTTAAAAGGTATCTCAACTAAACAGATGCCTCTTTTTTTGGACGACATTTTATTGAAATTATATCAGTGTCCCAGAGGGGGGGGGGGATCCGGACCACCTGTAAATCCGCCACTGACGACGACGATAATAATATGTGTATGTGTATTTCCGCGTTAAGTAACGAAATAATATGAATAGGTATAGCGCGGGAGTCGCTTCCTGTGATCATCTCAAGAAATTGTTTCTATTCGTATTCGACTAATCTATCAAAAAATCAAAACTAAACCATACTTAGTTCGTTACAAGTTCACCGGTAAACTTAGTTAGAATTTCAAAGTCTCGAGAACATTATTATGGCATGCAAAATTAGTATTGATATTTTAAAACCGTAATTTCCCGTTCAATAGCTATCCATATTTTTACGATATTATGTTTTGTTTTTTTTTTTTTTAAATAATTCATATCACTCAGATAATATTATTAGTCAATATCGACGAATACTACAACAGTTTATTATATGACTTATCAAATAACAAAATTACACTATTTACGAATAAAATAAAAATTAATGACCACAGCAGGAATACGGCCAGTAAGTGGTGACTTCTCCCTAACTATACGACGTTTGGACAACTTCAACAAGAATATTATCGAATTTATTGTTCAATGTTAAACTTCTAACATGTATAACGGTAGACCATTCGGAGACATTTCAGATTTACGAAACACTTAAACGTAATACAGACGAACATGACCAACATGGAACAACAAAGCACTTCAAGAACGTTATAAACGAATGGAAAATAGCGAAACAATCAATAAGCCGCAGTCAAGTTTAAACAAAGTAAAACGTCTATAATATTCGTACGATAAAATATTCGATTTAATATAGAAAATCGATAGGTTTTGCGGTTCAACAGAACGAGAATCGTTGACATAGTTAAGTATAAGTCGCTATGGAGATTAATAGAATAGAAAATATTTCGAATATGTGGATCAAACGAAGTATAATAGTAACGAACAGAAAGAATCAATAAGAAATAAGAACGTATTAAAAGCTAATAATATGTTGTTTCGCGATTTTCTTGATAACGCGAAAGTTCGGAAAATTAACACTCCAAAGAGTGCGCAGAGTAACAAAACTCTATTCAATCTGTTTCGATAGCCGACGATTTAAATGTATTGAAAAATTTACGAAACACGTGGCGATAATGCTTATAAATTACCGCCGAAGAAAAACCCGATGAAAAAAAAAAAACAAAAGAGAAATCACGAAAAACGAAAAAAATGAATCAAAAAATGAGATCTTACCGAACGGCCGGAATATATCAGCACCTATAACGTACCAACGATTTTCCATCCATTATTACCAATAATGTACCGAATTTAAATTTCCCGACGATTCGGTGTGATTATTTTCGTAACCTTACATCACACTGTGTTTGAACGTAGAAAACAAAAACCAGTCTCATTTTCAATATAATGTTATGGAAAATGTTTTTCCATACCGGTAGTTTCAGACCGCGCGTTCTTTCGGAGGCGCGTAAATTACCAACTGTAAATATACGTATCGTACGAGCCATTATGGATTTCTTCCGGACTAAAGGTACATAATTTATCACTTATAGATCATAAAAAAAAAGAAAAAAATACAAATACAAATAAAATAATACGATCGTTAAATACGATATTTGCATACGAATTATTGTGCTTATATTATTCATTTTCGATATAATCGTATATATATATATATACTCGCGTTAATTTAGACAACCTAGTGCAACTTTTTTTTTTCCATTATTATTATTAACTCGACGTTCTTATAAAAAAAAATTACGTTAATTTTTACGCAATACGGTTTAGAACACAATACCGCCCATACGCGCTGCTGTATTACGTATAAATGAAAAAAAAAAAAATTCTAAAACGGGTTATTATAATATTATACAACGCAAACGTACCGTACGTATCGAAAGTCGTAGAAATATTACGGAAAGAAGCATAACGCACGCACAATATAAACTGACGGTTTATTCAAACGAACACGGTTATTATAGTACCGATCTGCGTTATAGTAGGCATATGGTTTCACCCGATACCCCGTAGAAGTTAATAATGAACGGGGAGTTCACGCGTGCAAAGCTAATTTGAACACCGAATTAAACTTGTTAACCGAAAAACTGAGTTTTCACTGTTCGTTTATGATGCAAGCTTGTTATGCCGACATCGTGGGGAAAACGATGAAACCTCAAGTTTATCATTAATTTCGATATAAAACATATTCATGGGGAGCCTACGAGTATTCGCGCTGAGTTGGTACCGAAACGTCGAGACCGTCCCACCTAAAACAATCAAAAACTAAACCTTGTTATTTACACGGCGGTGTTCGAATAAACCGTATAGATTGCAAAAACTCAATAGGGTTGCAAGCGAAATGAAATTAAATCGACTTGACGCGGTAAAATTATTCATCTGACTTTTGACGCGTCAACGGCCATTTTCGGTTTTATCGAAACCAGCTGACTTTGTTTCGGACGAACAATCGAACGCGTGCGACTAATGTGTCGTATTTTTATTTTTGAAAATCATTGACCTCGCTTTGCGCGGCTATCAATTAAAATGGACCGCGTACCCGTGCGCATATATATTATTATAACGAGCGCATTGTACACTATATTCTAGTTTCGAAATTATAATACCTACGCGGCCGGGTATTCATCTTAAAAATTCAGAAATCCGTCCTTGGCGCGCGCTCTATGAAATCCGCATGCGCGCGCCCGTTATCTTATCCTCGTATCGCGTATACATTCGCGGAGTCGGTCGGTCTCGGTAACGTGCGGAAAACCAAGAAAACCAAACGACATTGTGGCATTTTTTTTTTTTTTTCTCCTCTCGAGATAACGAAGCCGCGCGTTAAACGACGACGGCGGCGGTTATAGTGCGGCACGCAACGCGCGAAACGAAAATTTAATTAACCTATCGGAGCGGAGTAAATTTTAAATTTTATGGCATATCTCAGTAAAATACGCGTTTATATACATATATGCGTTTTGTGTTGGAAATTATATTGGATTATGTAAATTATAACACAAGCGCACGTACATACGATACACGGAGAAAACGGTAACTCGTATTATTACTATTTTTTTTATTTTATTTTTTTTTCCCGTATCACTTTTGAAGATCTTTACGTACGAAAAAATATAACGAAATCGCGTAGCAGCGGCGGCAGAGCGGCGTATAATCATCGTGATTAAAGCGTTACCGGTGTCGAAAATGGCTAATAAACGTAAAACGATATTATTACGATGATGACGGTGATGCATTTTAACTATACATTATATCTGCCTGTACGCACGGTCTGTTTATACGATAAACGCGAAAGATAACGATAAACGATAATAATACGCACACATATGGGTGTAAACAAACACGACAAATAATATTTTAATGTTAGGGTCAGTGCACTAGGTACGCGTAGTAGTTATACTTATAATAATAAATCGGGAAGAGTGTTGATATCTTAAACGGGATCCGTTCGAAATCCCGATAGTTCGGAATACCAGTGACAACCGTCCGGAAAAAATCTCAACGAAAATATTATCGTTTTAAAAAAATACACATTATTCAATAAAGACATTATTATATCTTCGGGTCCCGGGGGATAAAGGCTTAAGTCGATTTTGTACAGTCGAATTTTTTAATAGCTACGAATAGCTCGAAAAACAGTTTGAAATGTTTAATAGAATTGCTCCGCGTCCAACAAGTAGTAACATAATTACTCGGTGAAAATTGCAGATTTTCTACGATTAATTTAACCGAAATACGAAAAAAAATAAAAATAGAAACCGTTATTGTTGAATCGTTTTTCCCGTTTACAGTAAAAAACTACAGAGAAAAAAATAATCTCCTCAATGCACCAATCTGATAAGATTGTCTGTCTCAGAAGTTCATGATCGGAATGAGATTTCTGTTATAAAAGTTTATAGATACAAAAAAAAAAAATCACACACACACATCACATCAAAACCGATGCGTCTAAAACATTAAAAGCCTAAAAAGTTAATTCGTCCTTGACTCGATCGTACAGTTTACTTTTATACTTTTCTTATGTAAACGTCCGATGTTTGCGAACGTCCGGTCAGGTTAACCATATAATCGTGAAATTTTCCACCGTCGAAATACCCGGGATTTTAACTTTAAAATGTATTCGTTTATATTTTAACACCGAGATGCCATCCGAGGCCGGTGTGAATTTCGATTACGACGGTTCTCGTGTGTTTACGGTTTACGTTTGAACCGGCGGCGGGCCCTTCTGTCGGGATGGTTTTTCGGACGCGAAACACGCGTGTACCGAGTAAGCAACGACGTGGCGACCCGTGTGAATCGGGCGTGTACGGGTGGGCATTGCGCGTCCCGTCAACGGTATCAGTTTTCCTCGCGGCGAGCGACACCGCCGCGGTCAGTTTCTTAGAGGGACGATGGGTCGCAGAGCGCGGAAGGTGAACGACAGCGTCGCACAAATCCCGCGCGTTTTTATCACATCGCGCGACAACGCGCGTATTATGATTATCGCGTACGGCAACAAACGTGCCCGCCTTTTGCGCGCGCGATAGCGGAGTGTTTTCGATTTTATCGCCGTGATGTACACGCGGGATGTTGTGTTTTCCGACGACGACGACGACGACGCCGCCGCCGCAGTCGTGTCCGGCGACGTTAAATTCCGCTCGTCACTCCGAGCGGATATCCTTCGGATTCCGTAGGCGTCGGCGCGACTCGACTTACGGCGGCCGCGGTATGAAAAATGCCGCACCCGGCGCGCGCGATCACAACGACGCGACGGCATGGCCTCTCGCGGACGACGGCGTTGTGCGCACGTTTTGCGGGCGTACGTAACACGTAACAGCGACGGGGCCGCACGACCTTGGTGTCCGCCGAGCCGGGACGGGGGGGCGCATGCGACGGCGCGACACGTGAGGCGCGTACGAATTGTGCGTGTGCGTACTGGTTTTTTTTTTTTTGTTTTTTCATCGCGTTTCATTATTTGTTTGTTTGTTTGTTATTTTTTTTCAGAGTCGCGATCTCGGGACCGATAAAAAAAACCCCGACGGACGCGCGGCGACCGAACTTTGGCGCGGCCGGACGTGGGGACGGCGCGGATGTCTGGCGAAAAATATTATCGGCGCGCGCGTCCGGATCCGGATCGCGTGTCGCCGGTCACAGAGCGCGAACCCCCCAGAAGAATGGAATATCGCATAGTATTCGCGTGAATTTACACGGGCATCTATATTGGGTTAGGTTTTTCTCGCGTTTTCATATTCCTTCCGGTAATTCGGAATTTCATGTTCAAATAAATAAAGCGTTCACTGCGCAAACAGCTTGTTATCACGTTGTCACACGGGTTCACTCGATTTCACAAATACAACGGTCATTACTCGTTTTAAAAAACAACCCTCGCGTTATAAAATACGACTCGAGTTATTTTACTGGGGGTTACCCTGTACAGCGGTGAACACATACACATAAAAACGTCCGTTGTCAACGGTTTAGTTTAACGGGTCAGTGTTATTATTTACGTACGATCGTTTTTATTATGGTTCGTAGTGAACGTTCGGAAACGTAATTGCTTATGGGACGCATCAAAAACGTACGCTCACTGTCCGCCTCGCGCGTAATAAAGCGACGAAAACGCATCGCACTTCAACGATTGCGATCATTCGGGTTGAGTTTGGAGCAAAGGGGCCTGTAATATTATGTATAAAAAAAAAAAAACAACAATATTTACTACGACTTTATTTTTACTACGAAGTTCATTCGTGAATGAGCTTATTTACGGTTAAAATCGAGAGTGACCGATTGAAACGCGCGTTTTTCCGCGATAAAAATTAAAAAATACTAAACAGATCATCGAGATCCCGATACACGGATGATTATCAGGACTATTCCGGGGGGGGGGAGTGGGAATTTTCTCTCGATTCCAAATTCCGGGAATTCGCCCGTCGCCAGTCACATATACGAGCATATTGTCGTAACGGCCGACGACGGGTCGCGGACGACCGATCGTCGGCTTTGTAACGATAGAGAAACGGGTAAGAAAACAATGCCGTTTGTCGGATTTTCAGATTTAATCGCGTTCGCGACGACGGCAAAGAAAGCGGTGAAAACATGTGCTGCGCGCGAATCGCGTTGCGTTTGTTGAATAACGACGACGACGGCGGCGGCGGCGGCGGCGGGTACTGATCCGTGATGCGTGTGTGTTTATAAGACCATTTCATAAACAAAATAAATAGTTTTTTTCGTCATTTGATTGTTTGTTTATCAGCAGTCACACAACCGTACAATATCATAACGGGGGTTTTTTTTTATTATTATCATTCAAACCGCAGAAACTCTTGATTTGATTTGGTTTTCGCGCAGCGATGACGTAATTCCGGTCTCGGAAAACGCCACTGGCGGCGAAAACCGCGACGCGGCGTTTCGACGTCTCGTGGAAAAATGAAAAAAAAAACTCTCCGCAGAAAGTCTGCGTGTCTACGTCACGGGACTAACTAAGAGGAGTACGGGCGACAATCAATAATAACTTTTCACCTACTCAATAACGGACCGTGTCAATTATATAATTAAACACGCGCCCGGTAAATATCCGGCACGCGGGCGCGTGCAGAGTCGCGTTTGTACGTTTGTTCCCGTCGCGCCGCAACAAGTCGCGGCGTTGCGAGCGCGTTTTTTTTCCCCTCGGTTTTCACGTGCCGCGCTCCGCGTTTCCGTCGAGGTTTTTCGAACGGCCCGACAGCGAAACGTGATGACTGAGTATATATATAAATATATATTAAATTTGCTATATTTGCCGTTAATAACGATACACGCGTCGTGTTTATACGGGCGCCGCGTGATTTGTCCTTACAAGGCGCCCGCGATCGACACACATTCGGCGGTAAAAGTGAACGTTCCGAAAACGTCGTTGACCCTCTACCGTGCAGAAAAAAAAAAAAAAGATGAAAAATGACATTTACGCGGGCAGAGAGACGGGTTGCGGGGCGCTCGAAAAACGGTCGCTGTCGGCGGGGGGGAAAAACGCGCCGCCGCCGTCGCCGCGCCGGCACGCGAACGGTCGACCGCCTCAATGTACGCGAACATTTTCGTCGACGTCGACGCGCTGTCCGTTGCGCGCGCCCGCCCGTCCGTTCGGATTCGAAAAGTCGCCTCTCTCTCCGAAACACGCACGCCGAATCATTGCCGACGTCGCACGTCGGTTTCGTCGCGCGCGTAACGCGTCGGGTTAGGTTTGGTCGTTCGACGGCCCGATAAAAATCGGGCAATTTATACGACTGCGAAATCGTGATTTCGTCCCCGAAATCGAATACTCGACTCTAAAGGTTCGGGTGTACGTAATTTCGTACGTTCGTTTACCGTTTCGAGGCCGACACTCGGGATTTTACAGCGATTCGGATTAACTTATAATTCTCGTTTTAAACGACGCGTTTTTGATTTTTAGTATGGAGACGAATTTCGCCGATCTCCTCAACTCCCCCAGCCCATCCCCGTAAATGCGCCGCTGCCGCACGGTCACCGGCCGGCCGGAAACGGTGTTGTCATTCAGCCCGGTCGGTTCCGTATAATTTTTCGCGATGTTTTCGACCCGCGGCGCGAGACATCCGTTTGGAGACTATTTTCCAATTAATTACTATCGCGCTACACCGCTGCGCCGCGCGCTTTATCGCACTAAATTAATATCGTTATTGTCGCTATCGTCCATATTATCTCGAATCTATTATTGGAAACAAACGAAACCGATTGCGATGAGGAGGAGGCGGCGGCGGCGGCTTCCCATCCGGCAGACATTCCGACCTCTCGTCAAACGGCGGCGACAGAAACCGCGGGACTCGCGCACATTAATTATCGTTATCGAACGGGGAGTAAATCGAAAATACGAATTCGTACACACACATTATTGTATTGTTGTATTGCGTTCTACGCGCCCGGCTCATAACGCCGCAGTACCCGAGCGCAATGTTATTATGCGTCGCTCGTATTATCACGCGCGTGTTGTACACCGCACGCCGCCCGGTTAATTACTATACCGCGGGTTCGAACACCAGCTGATCGGTACAATACTATCGCGCACAGAGGCCCGCACAATAACACTAATAATAATAATAATAATAACGCGTATTGTACTGCGGCGGTCTGTGTACACGCGTACAGTTAGTCGGCGGAGTTTAATTAGGTGTGGAAAATAAGAAAAAAAAAAATCCGAAAAACAAAACGGCCCGTGTACGCGCGCCCCGGAGCCGTTCGCGGGCGAACGGATTTCGGTTCGATTTTTTTTTTATTTTTCAACCATCATGTGGCACACGCGACGTGTGGTAACAGACGTCGGCGCTCGTTAGGCGCACGGACGGATTTTCTCGGTCGTTGTCGTCGCTTTTTCGCGCTGCGGTGTCGATTGTGACCGCGGTACCCGCGAGCGGCCGGGCGCACAATCGTACGCGCGATAACCGCCCGCGGGGAGACCCTCGCCGCGAACGCGTTGCGCTGTCCTCGTCGTCGTCGTCGTCGTCGTCGTCGTTACAACGGCCCGGTCTCTCTCGCATCGGTCGCGCGCGAAACAATAGATCGCGCGCACGACGATACCGCCGGTATGAAGTCACGGCGCGCGGCGTCGATCGATTAACGAGATCGATAAAACTATGACGCGCGTCGTTATTGTACGGGCACGCGTACCCGCCGAGCGCAGTAACATGACGCGCGTCCCCGCCGCCATTGTCGTAATATTTCTCGCGCGGGTATCGCGACAAGTGCATTTTCGGTCCGCGATCGTTCCGGGGCCGCGCGGAAAACGCGCGCGTGTGCGGGCCGACTGCGCGGGCCCGACCGGACGGAGAGACGACGGAGACGGCGGCGGTCTTGAGTTAGATCCGACCCGAGTCACGGCGACGACGGCGTACGGGCCGGAGCGCGTTGTACCGCGGGAGTACCGGGAACGGGGTGTTGTTCGTGGATTTCCGGACGGAGCGGTGTGACCGGCAACACGCATTCTAGCGGGTAGTGGGTACAAAAAAGCGTGGACGATTCGACGCGCCGGCAGAAAGATATGCGTGCGGCTGGATGGTCCGCCGGAATACGGGAGGGTCGGGCGAAGCAGCCCGAAGCCTCGGGGCAAGGGCGAGCCAGAGAAAATGCGGCTACGGTTTATCGCGGGAAAACGTGAACAAGATTTGAACACTAAATTACTCACGCCGTTGGCGGCGCGCGGGACGAAAAAAGGCGTACGAACGAGAGGAGCGAATAGTGAGAGAATATAATTTCCGCTCTCTCGCGGTAGGTCAGCGCACGGAGGGTTATGTTGGACCGATAAGTTGCCGACGGAGCAATAATGTAATTGTGTAAAAAAAGTTTATTATTTAACATGTTTTTTTTTTTAATTATTATTTTTCTATAGAGCGTACAGCGATCCGTGCGTTCTTCCGATAATTCGACCGTCGTTTTTCTTGTGTTCGCGAAGAACGTCTATAGCACACGATGACACGCCGCATCACTTCCTCGTCCTTACGTGCAACAGTTGTTTACTTTGCTTTGCGTTTATGTATTATGTATAGCGGCGGAATACAATGGCGCAGGCGTAGTTAAAAAATGCATAATATCCTTGGCGCTTTGTGTACACAAGACTTCCTAGATTGCGCGACGCGGATTACGCCGACGGGAAAAAAAAAAAAAAAAGTCCAATAAAAAACCAATCTGCTGGTTTGTCAAAGCTGAACACTAACAACGTGTACGGCTTGGCCTATCGTCCGTATGCAATCAACCAGCGCCGCCGCATAAAGGGTTGACCATGAGACTAGCATGAGTTGCCACCGGAATAATACGTAAAAAATATGATATTATTATACTGCGGTATTGGTATCTGAATCGGTCCGCACGGTTTTCTGGTCAACCGTCCTTGACTTGCGATTATAATTTTTACCGCGTTATTAAAAAAATATTTATATACATATAATACCTAATGGTTGTAACAATAGAATACTTAATAAAACGTTCTCCGATCGGCAATCGCTTTCCGATGTTCGCCCGCGAACTACTATTTCAAGGGGAACTCGCGCCGCGGTAGAGCTTTTAACGCAGCGTTCCAATGGTAACCCCGATCATAAACCAAATTGATAAACGGCTATACGTAACATGACGATTTTTTGCGTTATCACGAACGTATCTCGCATTGTCCACGCGGGAACATTTACGTTCTGTTATCGCCAAATACAAGTTAAGTAAACGTCGGGTACCTCGAAAATCTCGCGGTAATTCGTGGAAAACAACCACGCGTTTTAGTGCACGCGGTAACTCGAAGGAAAATCCGGGGCAAACCAGTAGCCGACACACGACGACAGTTCAACATTTTTTTCCATTCGACGCTCAACCGCTAGAAGCATTTTTAATTTGAAAAAAAGTATTACGAGTATTTTGACGTCCCCTACTTAAAACGGCGAGTGGCGATTTTCTGATTGGCCAGATGCGGCCTATGCGTTTTACGCAGGTGCCTTTATCGTACGAATCAATATGCGTTTCGACGGTGTCACAATGAGGGATCGTAACTCACAATCAGCATTGCTGTTTTCGTCCGCGTCTGCGGCCCGTTTCAAGGAGAAAACGTATTAATCCATCTCGATATTTCGACTTTTGCCTGCAACCGTTCGTACTGTCCAGAGTCGTATAACCGAAAAATGACGCTCATCACTGACTGCGCTGTTGACTCGGCGCTCTAAAACCTCTGCAGTGTGAATCCTCCAGCGAATTCGTCATGTTCAACGACGAGAGTGAAAAATTACATCTGTTATGCATACTTATACGGGATACACCGTATCATACGACATTATTGTAACGCGCACAGCGATGGGCACGCTCTGATAACAGTGCCGTTCCACGACAAAGTTGTATTAATATTATACGGGTACGCCTACCCGAGTATTCGGTCCGATTAATCTGTCGCCGTTTTTATTTTTTTTTTTTTTTTTTCAAACAGTTTTCGCCGTCCCGACAATCACGCGGTCGTTAATGCGGGACACGTGCGCAGACGCGATCCTGCGGTGAGATAACAGCTAATTATTTTAACGAACAATCTGCCGTTATCTCTGCGGTCGCGTACAATTTATGCCTACGGCTAGATGAGGACAACCGCGGCTGAGTTTACACGTGTGCATAATGTATATTTATGTATATAGAGAGGCACTCGCGCTATTAAGAATGACGTTTTAATCGACGACACGGGCGTATATTATGTACTCGCCACGGTACCAAGACCGAAGACGTATTTACAATACGGAGCGATCGACGTGATGCAAGGCACTCGTTGTGTCGGAATGTGTTAATTCGTTTTCAGGACAAGGTCGGTTGTTTTTTTTTTAAAAAAAAAAAAAAGCCGCTATAAAACGTTACACTCGAGTTACCCTCGAATCACCCTCATTTTCGGGCGTGAAACCGCTATAACTATTTTCGGTTTTCGAATAGCGACCTGCGTTTAAAAATTCAAAAATATATCGAGTATTACACCAAACGCCACAGTGCTGACATCTCGTCGACGGGTGTCGACGAGATATTCCACTTTTAATTACCGGTCGAGGGAGAGGTGTAGGAGGGTAATATATCACAACTCGAACACCGTACTCCGGCGCCGCGCAAATGTCGATCCACTACCCGATTCTCGATTATCGAGAACACTCGATTGTCACATTCCCGGACGACGACGAGTGTCTCCTCGTCGTCACGTCGATCATCGTGCCGATCACACTGTACGCCGCTTACGCGCATCTCGGGACGACCCGCGAGTCATTCCCGCGCGAGCGCCGTAATCGCATAACGATATTTTCATCGTCAGTATCGTTGTCGAGATTATGGCACGCTGTTGTTATAAGGCGCGCGGCCCCGAATGAAATAAACACGGTGCGCGTTATTCGCGCGGTTCGCATCCGGCCGAGGTGTTATTCACTAATGATGCGGCGCGCGCGTCCGTTCGCGCCGTTCCACGACACCCGCGGTCGTTCCGCGGGGCGTCTCGCGTCGCGTACATTACGTCGGAAAGGTCCCGCGAGTCCCGTGCATTTCTCGAGCGCGGCCGGGTTCGCGGGCGGTCGACACCACGCCGGCGCTCGTAACCCGTGTATACTGCGTTTATTTTTTATTTTTTTTTTTTTTTTTTTATAAAAATTAAGAATTTCATTATACGCGAGACCTTCGAAAATTCTCGATCGCGCCCGGCCACGCGACCCGTGGCAGGGGATGGCCGTGTAGCCCCGAAATCCGATATTTTCGTTTTACGGATCCCACGCGATACGTATTACACTGCGCGGTCGCTTGCGGTTTGCGCCGCGGTAATCGCAGACGTTCGGAATCTTAATTCTAAATAACTCGAACCAGCCGCTTTCGCGCGGTCGACGCCGAGGACCGTTTGAACGGCCGCGCGGCCAGCTGTGAACAGTCGCGTTACGCGGTCGGGGCGACGAGATTGAAATATAACACGCCCCGCGAAAACGCGTGCCGCCGTCCACGATTTACACGCCTGACAACGGCAATTATCGTTGTCCGGCCGCGGGCTTTTCTGCGCGGAAAGACGTGCGCTGTTACGGGCTCGCGGCCGGGTCGGTCCGCCGCGGTTTTTCACGCACGAAACCCGATTACCGTGACTCTCGGCGGCGGCGGCGGCAGCGGCGGCCGGCACGCACTCGACGGGGCCCGGTAGCGCTTCCTCTATTGTTGTTGTTTTTTGTTGTCGCCGCACGTAATACCGCGCGGCCGCTACCCATTGTACACAGTCAAAGTCGCCGCGCGCCTCTTCCTCGTCCGCTTTTCCCCGCGGACTCCGGCATCGATATAGAATAATGGTGCCGTCGGCCTGTCTCTTGACCCGACCTAGCCCGCCGAGGCCTGTGCCGCCGCGCGCGCCGACGACGATATAACAACGCGGCCACCCCGCGAAAACCCGAACGCCGTTAAGGGAGAGACAAAGAAAAACCACGAAACGTACGCGCGTGACGTGCACCCCCGGCCCTCGGCTCTTACACTCTAGCCGTGCGCGTCTTACCTACACCCGTCTTCGCCGCCCGCAATAACGTCGGACCGATTTTTCCCTTGATCCGCAGGCTTCTTATAGACTACAAAATAGAATTTTTTTTTTTTCTTTTTGTTATATAAACGGCGTTTCCGTTCCGAATCCGTGCCACGTCCACCGAAAAGTCGGTCGTTTGCTTATAGTCATTGGCCGATCTCGTTATATCGGTGCCGCCGCCACCGCCGCCGCAATTATCCGTATGTCACAATAATACGTACGTCTTTTGTAGAAAAAAAAAAAATAACAATAATAATAATAAAAAAAAAAACGAGTCGTTGTTTACCGGCGCGGAATCCGGGAGCCTATTACCCGCAACGGTGTAAAACGCGTGTTGAGACCGACAATAATGTAACGTTGTAGTGAAAACTTGTGAATTACAACGTCGGCGGCGCATGCGGTCGGAATAACTTAAAAGCGCATAATATTATCGTGCGTACCTACCATAATAATACTCGGGTTTCCAGACGACTTTCGAGAGTTTGACGTGTCAATGCGGACGGACGCGGCGCGCGGAGATTTAGGCTGCCGCTGTACAACAGACCAAACACAATACCGAACAAATTATTGCCGTCGGTTATCTCGGATAATTGGATTTGTAGACGGCGGCGGTGGCGGCCTGACGCGTTCCGTTTGAATTTATTGTACGCGATTTAAAAAAAAAAGTTGAAAATAAAAATAAAGAAATTAAATAAAATGTATTACCCCCGTATTGTGTACAGGTTTACGCGTATATTATTCGGTCGTGTGTCAGCGAAACGTTGGGACGGGGGGAGGGGGGTAGTTATATTATTATAAGATAAGACACCGGCGCGATCGTGAAAGAAAATGAGGAGAGTATAATAAAAAAAAAAAAAACCTACTTATTATTTTATACGCGTGTATGTACATTTCCATACGTATATTATGTAGTGGTTGTCCTTTATACGCCGTGGCGGCCGAGGAGACTGTATAATAGCAATAGCAATAATAATAATAATAATAATAATAATAATATAGGTATAGGTACTGTACGCGGTTCGGACCAAACATGGTCGGGACCGGTTGATTTAGCGCACATTATCTAACCAGATATTTTATCTCTCTTATTATTCTCATTTCCACACCCGTCCGGCCGGCGCTGCGGCCGCCGCGATGTCCGCCCGACGACGACCTGCTGCACTACGCAGGAGACAATTCACTGTACACAATAATAATATTATAATACCTGCTCCTTACTTATTTACTTATTTTTTATTTTTCTCTTATCCATATTACAACGCTCCCCGCGGCCGAGTCCGTATTCGTCCCGACCCGTCGCGCATACCATACCACGCATAAAAAAAAGCGCGTATCACACACGCGTGCGCGAAAGCGGTCGCCTCTCCCCGCGCGTGCAACGCGCGAACACGCACCGCACAAACGCCAACGGCTTTCCGCGGTCCCATCACCTCCCCCCCCCTATAGCCCCTACCACTCGTCTGCCTCCCGGCGGGGTTAGCGTAGCGAAGACCGAAGTTCAAACAACTCGCGGTCCGTCGGCCCTCCCGCATCACCGCAGGGCCGTTTCGCCCCGTGCAGGCTGCGGTCTCCGTCTCCGCGGCTTATTACCGACAGTCGTCGTCGTCGTCGGATACCCGAGACCGGCGCGAGAGAACACATTATTATTAGATTAAACACAGAGCGGTTTTATTTATTTTTTTTTTTTTTTTTAATCTATTATGTGCACTCGGTCCGTTTTACGCGCTATCGAATAACAAAGACGTAATTTTTACCCGACTGCAGAGGGTAGAAGCGATACGCTAAAACGGCACCGCCGTGTATCTCTTGCGCGTTATCTCACCACAGGCCACACCGGCCTAAAAACCGATAATCTTTCTATCGCCAATGATGTATTTAAGTTTCACGGATGTTTGTTAGGTGACTATGTTATGATATTTTACCTCTATTTCACCTAAACTCCTGAACCGATTTAGAGCAACACAGTTCAGATTGAAAACGAACAGTCTCCGAAAAAGATAAGAAACCTATTTTATACACTTAATACCCGAGTCGGTGACATCAATGCACTTTGAGAATACTATTTTTAATTTTTTTTTTTAAGCAAACAATTGATATTCAAATTTAACTATTCTGAAATTCGTTTGAACTCTGTAATATGTGAATATTATTGTTTAGGAATAGTTTAAAATTGTGTAATAATACTGGATATTATACATCTGGACAATGGATATACTAACCGAAAAAAATCACCGTGTACATACAAGTCGACGATTACCGGCAGACGAATTGCCTCGCCTCGTCGTGGCACAAGTAATCGTTCGGGAGATAGAAAAATGTTTCTGCAATATAATATTTTACCTATTATTATCATAGCTATCCGTTAATTTCGTATATTATCGTAGTTTCACAGTGTCTGGAACCACCGCGTAGTTATCATTATTACCGTCATCATTGCACTTCGTCTGTTTTTGAGTTACGGCCGTAATGCTATGGGAATTAACCGCTTTATTCCAAAGACAACGAAATTTCCCTTTATCATCAACAATTTCTCTCTTTTTCTTCTCCTTAGGCTTATAGCAATTCATTTTGGACTATTACCACTTCTACCACACTTTTTCTCTCCACAACCTATCTTTCTCTATCAAAAGCCCTTCCCATATCCAGCGATGGACTGCTTTCTTCAGACCTTGTCTTTTTCTACCGTATAGTAGCATCTCTGTCAAAGCCCGTTTGTCTTTTCCCCTTATTTAAGTTTCCATTACTCTCCTAACTCTCCTCTGATCGCCAAACGTGACTCGCCCATCCCAACCTCTTCCTGACTAAGAATTGACATAGACTCGGCTAACAGCCTTGAACAGCTGCGGCAGGTTTTCATTGGTTCTTCTTTAAAATCTTCTCAAGTCATTATTGTATACCAGGCATTCGGGTCTTATATTTTTCTCTCAAAACGCTATAGCTTTTCTTCATCTCCCTTAGTAATAGACCACGTCTCTCATGCGTGTGTTACTATGGGTCTCATGTATGTACAATAAAGGCGCTCTCTTGTAGGACTGGACAGTAACCTGGAGGAAAACATTTCTTTCGTTGAGAAGTAACATCTGTTTGCCGCATTCAGTATCATATAATTTCATTATGTATAATAACTTGTTTTTATTCTTTTATGTTAACTACTTAGTACTTTAAGTCCCCTACCTACTCGAAATTAAACCCTTCAGTCCAGAGAGTACCTTCACCGTTACGTTCTTAGTCATCACCATAATATATATCCCTACTTAAACATTTTCCATCACTACACTACTATTGCATATTATAATTTTTATCGTGGATTTATTTAATAACTTTAATTTCATTATCGAAAAAATAATTTTTACCAACCGAAAAATTGTACTAACCGTAATATTCATTAATTATATTGCAAATACTCCTATACGCCAAACCTATTGTTATGAATGTATTTTATGAACTGTTTTTGTTTTATTTTTTACTCGTTATTAAAATTTCTTTTAAATTCCTTTATTTCATATTCCCAAAATGTCTGCTAAAATCTCCTCGCGCAAAGGAATCTAATATCGTGCCCTAAATCTAACATCACTGATTTACTCATAATAATACTATCATCGGGATAAAATTATATTGAATGGACGGAGAGACCGGCCGTACCTATAGCGGCAAACGCATGATATCGAATATCAATAATAATAATTACAATAATATCATGTCATCGTAGCTCGTGGGTATACGAGTTTCGAAATTATTATTCATATACTTTATACTATTTTATATCATATTTATTCGACCGATCAATATAATACACTGCGTGTAGTTATTATTGTGCTATACAAGACTGTGCTTTGATACGTTAAAAAATATCGAATATCATACTGCTTAAAAAAAAAAGAAAAAAAAAAAAAGAAATAGCCAAATATGCCCTAAAAATATTAATTTTATTTGAAATACTAATCATTTAGGTATCCAATATATCGGTTGACAAAATATCGACATGAATAAAGAATAATATCTGAACACATTATGAAAAAAAAATTCTTCGAGACAAAATGTTCGAATTACCTAACTTTACATCAAAAATATTATTATTATAATAATATGCACGAAAACTTTCCGTAAGAAATGTTCTAAAAATATAAAAACGAAAAACAAAATTTTCAATTTTAAAGTACTTATAATTTCTTCTGTTATACTAATCTAATTAGCTACTGTTGAAATTTAAAAGTGAAATATCTCGACAACGGAAATTAAAAATTTCATCATAGAAAAATTGCTTTAAACTAATATACTTGATCAATGTTTCGTAATAAAAATTCAGTACCTAGTGGCTTCACTCCCGAAGATAATAGTGAAAAAAACAACAGTCGTGTAAAATTTATAGCTACTTATTACTTAAAATTTCTAAATAAAAAAAAATTAACAAATAACCTAAGCTAAAAAATTTATAATTATCGATATAACGAGTGTTACGTTGTGTTGATCATTCTGTATAATATTTTATTATTGAAAAAATGGATAGTATTTTTCCGGACAAAACGTCATTGTTGTTATAAAGCGTGACGTCACTATCGCGATGATACGCGAGCACGATATAAACCGTGTCGGTCATTCAATACGCCTCCCGTGACCACAGTCAACTGGACCACACCTATGTATGGTCTGAATGCATATTAATGATATCGTCTCTGTGTAGTGAAAACAAACTACAGTGAGAGGCCATAGATAATAAAGAAATGGATGGAATACGTCTATATCGGTATTTATAGCTTATACGCGGTCTTTTTTCCACGATATCTCTGTCTGACAGTTTGGGATATGATATTAAAGCTGACCGTGATGTGATAAGCTACAATGGCCCACCAATTTCTTTATTGTTTTTTTATTTTCGACGCTATAGACAGCCGAGAGAAATTCTATTATCACGCACTATTGTTCATTTTAGCGGTTGTGGTAAACAGTTTTAAAAAGAATAAAAAAAGAAGTTTTTAGGCTGTACAATATGCCTATATTGAACGACTTATTCTTTTGCTCAGTTCAAGTGTAACACTGAATATCCGTCTATTACAATAATTCGTACATTATTATTTTTATTGCATTATATAATGTCTAGGTAAACTCGTTATTATTATAGTCGCATTATAGCTGTACGTTTGTCTGTGTGTATTCTGCATCAGTTGGATAACACAATAATATTATTTTGCTTTATATACGTAAGTATATTTAATTCCATTCGCAGATACAATAAGTGATTAAGAAAAAAAATAAATGCATTTCAACCGTAAAACGCGATATTAATGAATCACGAATTCCCGTCACGTATATAGGTATTTACTATTTGCTCCAATATTTTTTTTTTTTATATAATAACACAATCATATTACCTAAATGACTCAACACCGCAAGGTCGTCGATTATTACTATCGTATTAGTAACTATATTATACTGCAGTTGACCAGAACTTGCAGCGCTGACGTGCAGTTCCACAAGTTAAATGTGTAATCTTACAAGAAAAAATACTTAAACCCAATCAAGAGCATTTTAATATAGTGCTTGTAACTTGAACTTGCTGGTCCTCTCTAAATTTCCTTGAAACAGACCTTTGTAATTCTAAAATTTTCTTAACGTAAGCTAAGTATCGTTTTGTATCGACGAATATAGCGTGAAAATCAAATATAAAAAGCAAGATGCGTCTGTCTGTACAATTTTTTCTCTTATACTTTGAACGTACATTTTTGTTTTTAAGTTTAAATTTAAATTTTAACACAAATAACAAAAATTAAAAGAAGACAAGATTATCGGACAACAAATTTGTACAGACACGTTGGTTTTAGCAATTTTTAAATAGCTATAGTTCTTTAAATTTTGTTATTTATGATTAAACTCCAATTTCAAATGCTACAATTTACGTTCTATGAAACATAATGTTGCTACGTTAGTAAGACGAAGGAAACACACGTGGTTATGACATCCTCTTAACCAAACAATATTAAATGTACTCACGTCTACTATATTTACAATTTATCCGTTGTAATAGTTACGAATCTACAACTGCAGTGCAACTTTGTATCATGATGCATATTTAGGTGCATCTGGCCGCCTAAATAATGTTGTAAATGTGTAACAAGAGTGCATATTGGTCGTTGCTGTAAACTTTTATCGGATGGGCACGATTGAAGTACAGTAAATTATTGTCCGTCGATTTTTAATCATTTAATACAACATTTATACCTCGGTATATCTGCGAGTCAGTGCGCAGTTTTTGTACATAATAGCGATTGGTCAAAAGTTAAAAACGAAATAATAAACTTTTTATATTTTTTAAACGTTTGGTTTCGTTAAATTTAGTATGTAAAAAGTTTTATAAAGATTTGCATTATTTTGATCACCTAACCGATAGCTATTTTAAACATTTCTATGGTCGTTTTAACTCGCCGTGTATCGCCCAATCAAATAATTATTATGTATACCTAGCCTGCGATATTATAGAACGTCTTTGTATTATAATAACGAGGTACAAAATATTTTGTTTTTTAAACAAAAAAACGTATACAGCGTATCGAACGCCACCACGTATCTATAATATGTGACACCGGGTATTGTGTTAAAAAAATAATGATAATAATAATAATAATAATAATAGAAATGTTTTTATCTTTTATTTTTTTTTTTTTTTTTTACCGGAAAGGAATATTTTCGATATTTCGACGAGTCCCGCGACCTTCAGGGTTTAAATGCGATTTTTTTTCCAAACCAAACAAATAAAAAATTGTAAACGAAAAATTTACATATTACCCGAGTCAAAAAAAATATTATTACAATAACGCGCGATAATGAATCGGCAATAACACATTAGCCGGGAAATATAATATTATTCTAATATTAATATTATGCTAAAATTAACATAATATTATATATTATCTGGATAAAAATGTATCTATATACAGTGGACGTGTTTTTTAATACGTTCGACCTTTAAAACGTTTTCCAGACGCGAGTGAAATGACCTGTTTGATTTTCAAATGTTATTTCAATAGTATTTATTTTTCGTTTTGTCCGTCGAGTCCGGCCTTCGGGGTTTTTAAATACCTCATTGAACAACAACAAAAAATAAATAATGAAATTCCGAGAACACTGAGAAAATCAGAAATTGCATGTGCGTAATATTCCCCGGGTAACATTTTCGTATCCAATGTAATTTTAAGAAATCGGCAAATCAGCCGATAAAATGTATGGGTATGTAAATTCAACAAAAAAAAAAAAAAAAAACGAATACATTTAATCGTTCAAATGAGTCGAAACTACTACACTGTCAATTAGTAAAAACTGAGATTTTCGATCATATTATATTTGAAAAATTCAGTATTTATATATTTCGTTTCACCGTCGGGCCCGACCTTCAGCCTTTAAATGTATGTTTAAAAAAAAAAAAAAAGGCATAATGAATGAGACAATTAGCCGCGATTCACAAAATAACACGGGAGTACACATATATTATTAACTAGTCGAATTCGAAAAACAAAAAAAAACGAATCTACTACATTAGACTCTAATAAATAATATTATATAGTACATTTAAAAAAAATACGATACATTATTAACTATATTAAAACGTTCCGCACTACCGGCTTTCGGTTATAAAATCGTAATTTTATTTGAATAGTACATGATTTTATTTTTTTTATATTTGTTCATTTTTTTCCCCGACCTTCAGATTTTATAAATACGTTTGAAAAAAAAAAAATAGAAATAAAGCTTAACAAGCCGATGCAAGTAAGCCCGGGGGGGGGGGGGGAAACCGATCCACATTTTTATAACACCGATACAACATTTCAAACGTTCGACGGGACCGGTTCGGTTTACGAATCTGATTAATTGCTGTTATACAATGTATTGCGTTTTAAGTGCATCGAAATATTAGTATATTGGCGGTGTTCAAATAATAATTGTTTTTTTTTTTTTTTTTTTATGTTATTTTAAACCACTAATTCCCTCGATTTCGGCGTTGCAATATCGATATCAGTATCCCCATCGCATTTACATTTATCACACCGTTTTCCGTACGATATTCGGTGGCATGACTGGTGGGTCGGGGGTCGCGTCTCACAACGCAGTCCCCTGACTTTTTTTTACTAACTCTACGCGGAACGCATTTGCATAGTTCTCCGCCTGTTTATAGAAATTCAATATCCCGAAAACACGCCCGGATATCCGTCTGAAATTCGTGACACCACATTCGCTCTTTCTCCAGAAAAATAGATCCCGGTCATCGCCACTGACGGTGTTTATTTTTATTGTGACTGTGAACACCCCATAGGTATAATAAGTGCGACACGCTGTACGAAAGATTCGGGAGTCTATAGGTAATAATGGTCACGAAAAGAAATGTCCGTGATATACGAAAATGACCAAACGAAAACACAAACATAAATGGGAAAAATGGGAAATTTCAAAATAAAAATGTATTTAATTCTAAAAACAAATTTTTTTCATGTAGCTATTTTTGTATCCGACCATATTGTTTTCCTATGGCCATATTTTCCACTAGCCATTTTAGTATATGTTAATTTTTCCAACTGATTTTTTGTATTCGGCCGTTGTTACCATTCGGTCGGCCATTGCAATTTTGACCTTCGGCCACGCCCAAAGAATTCTCGTTAAGAGCGCCGAAGACGGCGAGGAAATTCGAGAAAACAAATTTTGCCTAATTGCTGTACCTAAGTATATATATTATTATTATACTCGCGTACGTTTACAACAATATCGACATAATTTGCGACCTATCGATCAGTATAATCGCTACACCGTACCGAACTAATAATTATACGAGGTTTTTTTTTTTTTTCTTATTTTTAAACCGACACGGGTTCGCGGGAAAAAATTAAATCGGTCTTTAAACAAACACCTAATCGAATATTATTATCTCGAAGTTTCGCATTAACATTATCATTATGCATTGTGTTTCAAATTACTCGTATATATATTATGTGTAGTTCCGGAGTATCGGAGCTCGATGATTGCCATTTCGACTTGTGCAATACACGTGAACTGTGTATTTAAAAAGTCATTACGGAGTGTGATTTATTTTCGGTGGCGTGTGCGGTGGGGAGCTTAAGGGTTATACCTCTCCCCGGTCTAATCGGCTTAAAAATACAACAATTATGAGTATTTATCTGGCGATGTAATCTTAAAATATTGCGCCCAAGTTACAAGAAAACGTTTGGTTCGTAAAACAATAGTTGGCTATTTTATCCCCATTGTCGGGTAAGGCGTGGAAAAAAATTCTGACATCCCCTCCCACTGAAAAATCACGGGCACGCCACTGTTTATTTTGGATTTACACTCAACGAACTCAAATATCACGTTGCTTGTGGACCGTTCGCACATAGATATTATGACGTGAAGAACGCACAGTTGTACGTGAAAACGCGTTTTTATTGAATGTATGCATAACTATACGAGAGTAAGACGTCGTGTCCACGATCCAAACAACTAAAAATCTATACAAACACAATTTGCACTTTGCATATAAGCGCAATTTTGATGTCCACTATACTGTATTATATTTACTATATTATTCGTGGAAAAAAATAATGTTTCCACGTTTTACTAATATATTTTTTTTTTTTTAGAGAATAAAATAACCGTCATAGTATATGATGGCTAATGGTGCAACGATTCGCCAAAAACAGTTACTCGTGTCGCCGTTTTTCGCATCTCTTATGCGTTTTACACGGCGAACCGAACGATAAGCGCATCGTGAAAGGCGCGTCCGTAATCGATCTGACCGGACGTCGCCGTTCCCGTATCCACGCAGAACAGTGACTTTTTGGATTGTTCTCGATCGGCTCTTGGCTGCTGTAAACGCGCGAACGAAACTGGCACGCCGGTCAGCGTTTAAGTTTCGATTTCGCTACTTTTAACGGTCCCATCTGCGCTGGTCGGTGTTTCGGACCGTTTTCGTTTTTAATAATCACCATCGTTATTGATTTTATCGGTTTCCGCGCGAGTCTCCTCGGTCGCTGCGCGCGCGTTTTTCCAACCGTGTACGACGTCGCGGAAATTCGAAAACTCTCGTACGCGTCCGTTTTGCGTTTGTCTTCTCGCGTCAACACGGTCGGTCGGTCGGTCGGTCCCTTTGAACGTTCCCGACGATTCGCATTTATCCCGTACGCCCAATCGAACGATTATTATTTTACGCGGCGCGCGATAATATACGGTGATCGGACGGCCCGGAGTCACGGAGGTGGTATTATTATTAATACGGGTTATAATAATAATAATAATAATAATATTCCAGCCGCGGTGCCTGCCTGTTATTATCGTTAATGCGGACGGGTACGCCGAAGACCTTACACACGGACCACACGCCCGCCGACGCGTCGGACGATCGTTACCCGCATTAATTCGACCGCACCCCCGTCCTGTACATTTGAGTTTCGGTTTTTTTTTTCGTGTTTCCCCCCCCCTCCCCCTCGAGGCCTCGATCCTCCCCCCGTCCGGATATTATACATTGCGCGCATTACGACCGTACGGGACCACGCGGGTACACGTCACAGCCAGCCAGCTAGGCTGTTGTTATCGTTATATTGTCGTGTTGTTGTTGTTGTTGTTGTTATTATCATTATTATTATTACGCTGATGGTCGGACGGGTATATAATAATAATAATAATAATCTTCTTCGAGTCGTATTTTTATTTTTTTTTCATTTATTATTATTATTGTTTTTTTTTTTTTTCTGTTTCTCCGTATTCTGCCCCATCGCGCCGCACAACTCTTTTGACGAGGCCCGACCTCTGTGCGCAACAGCCCGCCGCGATAATAGACCGCCGTCTCGGGTACACCGGCTACCGCACCATCGTCGCCACTACTGGCCGTCACTGTTATTATTATTATTATTATTATTACCACCGCGGGCAGAGATAATCGTCGCGCACCGGGGACAATATAAAAACGTAAATGGCCGGCTATTATTTAATTGCGCGGCGGCCGTCCGGACCCGCGTCTATACAACACTGCGCGTACCCGCCGCGGAAAAAAAAACCCGGGTACCCGCCCGTGCGCGTACCGTGGGAACAGGACGCGTCTCCGGCCGGCCGTTTCGGACTCGGCACGTCGCGGATTTTCCGGTCGCATTCCGAAACTCGCCGTCCGCCGCGGCCGTAACGTACCGGCGCGGCCTGAACGTCGGTCCGGGACGACGCCGTGTGCGCCTCCCCCCCCCTCCAACTCCCCAAATCGGTCGATCCGTTTCTCGTACGCCACTGCGCGCTGTCGGTCTCCCCAGACGCGCGGCTCAGGACGGTTTTTTCAATCGCGTTCAACGCGTCCCCCTCCCCGTCTCTGCACGATAACTGTGAACCGTCGTCGGGGGTTGGGAGGGGGGGGGTACGCGTCGCTAAACGTGCAGTTTTCGATCGCGCTCGAAGCGTTCAATTAGTGATCGCGAAACGCGTCGCTTACGGCCTTAAAAGCCTTTTAACCGACGATTTGGAGACGGTCGGCCGCGAATCGGTTTTCCGTCATCTACAGTCGATCTGTTATCGGCTTTCGTTTTTTTTTTTTTTTTTTTTACAAAATCGTTTTGAAAATTGCTTAACGCTTACGTACCCCGGGGCTTCTAACGTCCTCTCGAGCGTTATTGTTATTCACTGCTGTGTACGAATATCGTACGACGGGCGACCGTTGTGACACGCCGACTGACGCCGGTCAATTTGACGTCGCGTTCATCGTCCGGCGACGCGGCGCGCGCCCGAATGACTACCCGATTATCAATCGGCGCGATTAAACCGGACGGGGGTGCGCGAACGTGCGCGCCGGAACGGAAACCGCGACGTAAAGACACGCGCCGCCGGCGCGTCAATGCACACACGTTTAAACTGTTACCTGTTACAACAACACTGTAATATACTCGTGTCGAGCGCGATCCGCGTCCGAACGGACGCTGAATAACATGACGTGCGTTATATTATAAACACGACCGTTGTGTCGTTGCGAAGTTTCCGACTCGAATCGTTTCGAACGAACGCGTCTCGCGGGTATAAACAAACGCGCAACGCGGCGAGAAAATTCGATTTGCATTTAAAACGGCGGTCGGGCGGGTACGCTTTTTTTCTCTTTTTTTTTTGCGACCGCGCGCGCCCGAAAAATTCCTCTGTACACCGACGGACTAATATTTTTCACATGCGGTTTTGCCGTACCGACCGTTAAATAATGGGAAAATAATCGCGTGAAATAAATACATTTTTGTTATTATTATCAACTACTAGCTAAAATTCATCAAAAAAAGTAATTGGTAAAACTTAACCAATCACTGCCCGGCTTTCCGGGTGACACTGTTGTGCATAGATATTTGAACCCACCGCATGAAACGTCGAATCGAAATGATAACGAACGGACGGTTCGCACGCAGCGGTTCGTTGTTCGAATAATTATTATCGTAGTTGCGTTCGATTTCGATCCACCGCAAATGTAAAATTTTTAAAAACATAGTCCGTAACTAAAATATATTGAGACGCCTAAAACACGAGGTGATATTTTAAAAAAAAAAATCCGAGTTAGATACACAGCTGAACTTTCCGTTTTATTTAGTGATAAAGAACTGATATAAATGAATTATTCGTCACGTCCAGATCGCACTGAAATAGTCTTCGAATGAAAATGCCGTAATAGATTTGAAGTAAACGGGTATGCAAGCGCCCTCAACAGCTGTAAACACATATAGCTATATCTCTTTACTGCCACGTGTCGAAAACTTTTTTTTCGGCAATTCGATTACAAGAACAATGATGACACGACAATATACCGTGTATAGCAATTATATTAAATACAAATAGCTTTAAACTCGATTTTCTCGAAATCGATAAACTGTCACATGTACCCCTTGTGTTTTGGGCGATTCGATTATATGGGCACCCGACCCGTGTAGATTTGAGTCGAACGCGCCCGAGTATGACGTCGCCGCCGTCATTTAACCCGAGATACGAGCGTAGCCTAAGTGTTCTTAATGATTCAGTGTGCGCACACGTGTATACATTGTAATTCGTTTTTTACGCAATTTTTTTTTTTTTGTTTTTGTGTCGTATTATCGTACGCGTATAACACACCGGAAGGCGCACACTCGTATACATACAAATATATTACGATTATTGTTCGTTAATTGTTTAAACAGCTGGACGCCCGCGGAGTTTAAAAAAATATAGGTACAAAAATTACGAACCATATTACGTGTAAAGACGATTTTGTCCGGCGACCGTTTTGAATGTAAAAAAAAAAAAAAAAAATACCTACTCGTAAAATATCATGTAAAACCATCAAAATGAAATATTTACGTAGATTCTATTTAAATGCGCGTAAAATTTTATCGGTTTTTTTTTTAATTTTATTTATTTTCCGACAGTAGATACGGGAGTTCTTACGCTATAAATTTTACGCTTTTAATTATATACCTATATATATATATATATATATATAAAAAAAAATTATCAAAAACGAGATCTGAAACTCTTACAAAACTATTTCTGGCGAACGATTATTTACACGGCATTGGTCGGTGTATAATAAAACTATATAAATGCGATTTAAAGTGACTTTTTTACGGTTTTTTTTTTGTTTTTATAATTAAAACGCGGTTAAAGTCATAAAACCGTTCAGAAATTTTTCAAAACTAACGGACGGTGTTCGTGGAAAAATGTATAGGTAAGTTAAATCATATAATTTTTTAGGAAACCGACTAAACTGAATAACTCACTACAAATTCGGATTAACTTTGCTTAAACATGTGTGGTAATTGCATGATATATTAAAAAGGAGACGGACAAATTTCCACCATTCGATCAGTCATGAAATCTCCAACAAAAGATTAGTAAAACAATGTGAAATTTTACAAAACGTTACTTATTTTTCCCTTTTTCATGAACGCCGTCAAAACGCAGTCATATCAATGACGTACCCAAAAATATGATTTACAAAACATGCATAATTCGCATACCTGAAAGAACAGTGAAACAGATCACCGTGTGAAAATGTCGGGAAATCGACACAATGTCGCATAATTTTTCCCACGTGAAACTATAATACTTCTGAGATATGATATTTTATTCAAAACCTAACCTAACAACGGGTCAGAATAAAGTCACATCCCAGAAATGTCAAAATTCACCATGGAAACTATTCTAAGCAGGCGTTTGAGCTCGTACGGTCTTAATAATATTAGTTAGGTGAAACAAATTCAAACGTGCTAAATTTTAAAGAATATTGCAGAAATTTATGTTTCGTTAGCAATAACTCGAAAATCGTTTTTGCTGAATTGTACCACTATTCATTCGGAGGTGCGAATTACCGAATGTACACATCGCGAATTAATTATGAAAAGACGGTCGAACAAATTTCGAGGAGGATTATAACTCTTTCGTTTCCCCTCTCCCTTCGAATACGCCACGGATGTTCATTACAGTATTGTATATTTTAAAGCCCGTATTGGTCGTCCGTTTAGCGATTATTTAGCGGTAAAACTGGGCGGTAACCTACAATATACCATATAGTTGTACCAAAAGTAATTTATATATTTTAAAACATTAGCATAAACTTAACTTAGTTATTTATTCCGTTTGTGATAGCTTAAAAACTAGTAGAAAAAAAAAATAGTTATAGTTATACCGAGACGGCGAACCCGTCCTCGGTCCTCTCGGAATGATATTGACGGGCAACCAAATTTTTTTCCGCACGTAAACGGCACGTTATATTTAACCTGGCCAATATTTCAAACGTTAAATACCTATACGGGTACCTATATTTCATTAATAAAACCGCTAAATTTCTCGCGTGTCGATTAGACCCTAGCTAATAATCATAATAATTACGTATGTGCGCGCGTACTTGTCGTGATGGGGTCAATATAACTTGTCTGCAACCGAAATTGGCCTAGGAAAAAAAAATACGTCACGATTTATCGTGTGGAAAACAATAATATTCGAGAAAGCCCCTCGTCGTGAACTACTCGTATAATATAACTGTATAAACGTTTAATAAAAAAAAAAAAAAACGCTAACCGATTTCGATATTATCACGATTAACGAGATTAGTTTTTCTTTTCGAAACTACTAGAATTCGCGCCGCGTAAAACGCCTATGAAAAAAATACGCATTCTCATAAAATACTTCATTCTACATCAAATAATAAAACCTATACATTGGTTGGTGTTCATTCGTTTAGAAAACGTATTTTACCAATATATTAGATATATTTTTAGATCTTTTTTTTACGTGTATCTATAAATCATTTCTTTTTTTTTTTTTTACCAAAATTCTTTCTCCGATCGAAAACTTTGTAGGAATTTCCTTTGAAAATTTTCGATCAAGTTTCACAGTACATATTGGAGAGGTATATTTTTTTCCTTGTGGTTTTTTTTAATAAAAGGAAAAACTGGCAAAAAAATGTTTGTAATTTTTGTCGATTTCTGGGTTACCTTGGCAACGGGAGAAGAAATAATAACTATTTTAATACTTTGCTCAGAACAGTCTATCGTTAGAAACGGTTTAAAGGTGTGCGTACAAATGCAAATTAAATATTACTCAACATATTCTCCTTCCAACTTCCCTCCTGGCAGGCCATCGGCAGTATCAGCCTTTTTATTTATATAAATAAACTTTTATAGAGCGATTAAAAAAGCACTGTCATCTATGATTTTTTTATACAGGCGTATAATATACATTAAAATCAAAAATGATATTTTCAAATGTCTTACGGGCATTTATTTATTTAATTTTTTTTTCACTATCAGTACGCATAAAATAGTATAGGAAATAGTGTACACACATTTTGAAAAAAATAAATACCTAATTATTATTGACTTAATACGATAATTCTTAATATTATTTAATTTTCGAAGAGACGGAAGCGATAAGAACATAATGTATACATATATATGTATTTGTTTTTGTTGACATCCTGATGATAGCGAGGAGCGACGTACCCATCATTTCCAAACACAGATAACAATGGTTTTTTGGAAAAGTTTTTTTTTTCCACCGATAATAATTGTTATACCTTCAAGATTATACGAGTGATGCAAGAGCGTTGAGATAAATTTGAAATTTGTATGCAACCGGTTCGACGCGAGAACGTTAAAAATTAAAACGTTGATTTTTTTTTTTTTTTCCGGGAAAATCGTTAGGATTTCGTGCAATTTTAGGCACAAAGCGCCTAAATATGTCCTATACATAGTTTACGGGATTCGGCGGCGCATTTAAAGGTGGCGATTGAAAGGGCTACATTTTTTTTCCGACGGAGAAATGTCGCCGTCCCTTTGTATATTTCCCCACCGATAATAATAATAAAAAAAAAAAAAAAAAAACAAAATTAGATTCACCACCGGTTTCCCGCGGTCCTTAATTCCGATATCCGTGTGGTCTTTAATCCGGACCGAGGTCCGGGGATAACGGGGATATAGCAAATCGAGAAAAACAAACCCACCACCCGCCATGGCATGCGTTCGTAAATACCTCGGTGGACGGTTAATCCGGACGGCGTACGGCTACGGGGACTGACGGCGAACGGCTGCGGGAACGGCAGCGCCAACCGCCGGGCGTGTGAATCGCCCGCTGTCGGCGGTCACAGGTCTCAGCGGCCCGCGGTCGGGCGCCGAGTCGTCATCATTGTTTGATGTCGTCGAACACGAAATAATTTGCGAAATTGTAAAAACCGAATTGCGCGGGCGTTTATTGGTTTAAAATTTCGCGTGCGGCAAAAAAAAAAAAAAATCGTATACAATAGTAAAACAACGGCCCGGAACGCACGTGGGCGGTTCACGGAGCTCTGCCCGCGTAAATCGTAACAGATCGTAACCCGTTCACCGGAACTCGACTCGGAACTCGTTGACTGGCGTATCCGACGGGCGCAACATCACGAGTCGTACTGTTGCGGTGCGCGTCGCGCGACTCTTCGACAACGGCAGCCGGCCGCCTTCTCCCCGGTCCCCACCCGCCGGCCACCGACGCCGCCGACGCCACCACCGGTTCACCTGTGGCCTCTCGCCGCCGCCGCAGACCGTCTGTCTGCCGCGCCGCGGTACCCGGTTCGGACCGCCGTCGCGTGCGATTACCGAATTTCGTGCGCGGTTGACTTCTATCGCACCCGACCCTTACCCCCCCCCCGTCACCCCGCTCGTTATTGGCAGGCGCGAAAAAAAAATATCGTCCGGGGCGATTATCGTCGTGTCGACCGACGATCCGGTCGGGTATCGTGCGGACACCGGTCGCCGGGCGATCGAGAAACGACCGTCCGACCGAACGGATTCTTCGTCGAAAAATATAACACTGTCGAAATGTCGAGTTTCTCGCCGTTGATAATGTATCGAATAAACGATCGGAAAATCGCTACAACCCGCCTCCCCCCCCCCATTTTTCCCGCCATCGTTATTAAACATCATTTTCCTATGGATTTTCTCGACTGTTCATTTGCAAAAAAAAAAAATCGAACAATTACCATAAATATCGAGGAGTTTAGGAGATAAAAAATCTCCTTATCGGCCTTGTTTTAGCATGTATTATATTTACGATTGGTTATGTTCAAGTTCAAATTTCTTTAATTTGTAATTTTAACTTTAATTTTTTAAAAAATTTATCGTGTCGGTACTTAAATATATATATTAAACAATTCAAAGAAAAAAAAACCCCGGAAGCATACATTTTAGATAATGAATAGAGCGAGGAATATATTTTGGTTCGAAACGAAACAAAACCTAAAAACTAAATACTTAATCAATTAATAATAACTAATTATTTATGTATATATAATTATTTTAATTTTTTTTCCCAGTTTTTCCTAATTATTATGAAAAACGTTTGGGAAATCAAAAAACTACCTCCTTAAAGTACCGCCCAGATAAAATTTCCTTTCAGAAAATGTACTGTACATGAAAATTGGAACAAGATTTTTGTTAGAAAAGTTGTTCACAAATAAAAAAGAAATTACAAATTAATAAATAAATATCATTGTAAAACCCATACATTTCGCCCAGAATCTAAAATGAATACATTAAAATAACTTAACTTTAAAACAGACCTGTGAAATATGCGTTTGAAAAGTGTTTCGATTGCTAAAACAGATATTGTATTTTTAAATATATTACCTATGCATAAATTATAATAATACGAGTAGGTACATCACTAAAAAAATATCCGAGTACGAACGCAGATGATTTTGGAAAGTGTTTATAAATGCCGGTTTCAAATATTTTTTTTTTTACATCATATTGTCCCGTCCAGTCGTTAATATTCTTTTTGTGTATACATATTATATAATACGTATATACATTATGCTCGTATATAACAGTGGTTACACTAGTACAAGTTAAATGTCAAACTGATTGAATTTACAACTTTGTGTGCAATGCGATGTGTACGGAAATAATATTTAAAAAAATTATAAACAAGCATTTTGAATAAGTATTCGGTATCGAATAAAAATATTTAAAACACAATAGTTACACGGAAGGTAATTATTTTAATACTTATTCTTATACTAATGTGTTCGATTATTTTTATTTTAATAATTTTACGACAGTACTTTAAAAGTCTACTGGCCACAAGTTATTTTAAAATTCGAAAATCCGCAGACATCACTAGTCTGTGCATTTTTTTTCTTTCTAATATATAATTAGTTTTCGAACATTGTTTGAATGTAAATATTTAATTTGTTTAAAAAAAAATCCGGATTTACAATAAATGCGGTACACCGGCTTCGGGAAAATCCGAGCTTACAGCTGTACAGCAAATCTTCGTGTTTCACAGACCGTTTGGGTTTTTGAACGTTCGACCGTCCGGCCTAATAGTCAACGTTCTTGTGGACTACACGTCAATACCGTCTAACTCACGCGACTGCGCGGCGTAAGTTCGATCCGATCGTAATCGTCGAAAATGTCATGACGGTCGTCGACCAATACACGACGAATACATTTCGTTCACACCAAAGTGTACGGTGCGGTCGGCACGGCACAAAGATAAACCTATCCGTGCTGTGAGAATAGATTATGTGTGATTCGTGTCGGGTTAATGGCTGAAGAATGGATCGAAAATCCTTGAACCGACGCGTTCCGATTTTAAATTTTAAAATACAAAAAAAAAAATGAATGAATACATGACCCCTTTTTAATAGTTGGCACTCCGATTCCGATTGTGGCGGTGTTGCGAAAATGTCATAATATTATCGAGCAACGAGAGTAGATAACCGCACAACAAACACGATATTACAGCTACTCATTCATAAATGTCTATTTTGATGTCGTTGTGTAGAACGCATAAATCACTCGCTCGTTATTTTATTTTTTTTCCATTCTGTATGTTATTGTGTTCCGTTGGATATTTATCATGCAGACCGTACACGAAACGCATTATGGATTTGTTTGAAACTCGGTACACGAGTGTTGGAACTGATTGAGGATTTACTCGGGGGTTTATTGTATTATTTTCGAGTGTTGAAATCAATATTAATCTATGAATACGATCAGACGTCACTTTAAAAACAAATCGATCCTCGGGTGATACCTTGCAAACGTGTACAGCGCGATAATTACGGCTAATCGGCGTAAACGTTTTAGAGCCGACGTACAAATCGAAACGCCGGCAAGTTTAAAACATTTCTAAAAATAACTAGATTTTAGATCGAGTATATTATAGGACACGAATTGTTTGATTAAATACATTTTATTTTCGTTGTTTTTCAATTAGATTTGATTGCTAAGACCTACAATTTTCACAGAATATTACGTTGCCATTTTCCAGACGTGATTAAATATCTAAAACAATTTGGCCGTTTTTGAACTATTTATTGTCATTTATCATTTTTAAGCATTTTTTTTTTTTTTTTTTTAATTTTATATGAATCAAATTTGTTCGGCCCGAAAAAAATGTGAAATATAAAAGTTGAACTTAATGTAGTTGTTTTCAAAAAATAATATTAACCGTTGGAAATGTTAAAACAAGAGCCGAACGAAATATTCCGCATCTTAGGTAGACCATTGTTGTAAGTGTATCTAGATGGTAAAATAAGCTGATATACGATAATGTTAATCTATTTATACTGAAAATTAAATACGATTCTGTAGTGTTTAGTTGATTGGTTCCGTGATTATCGTTAAATTAGGTTTTTTGTCGTGCGATCAAAGGAAATAAAACATATTTAATAAGTAAAAGGTCCAACATTTTGAAGTTCTATACAAAAATTAAAATGTAAAATTCCAGCTTCGAATGGTTGTCCGTTAAAAATATCAGATATACTCGTGTCATAGATTTCATCCAAAACAAATGTACCGTAATTTTTTCCCTATTGTCAAAAAAAACAACAACCGGGAATATGGAAAAAAATCCTTCTAGTACAATCCAACTAAAAAAACCTTAGCTAATCAATACCAATGTCGATTAGATATTTTCGGTTGAATTTTTGGCTGGATTAAAAAATTATTATACCGCGAGTATACAAAGGAGTGAATAAGTTTTACAAATTATGATTTTTTTCTTTTTCTCAAGACGACGACGACTATCGTTGGTTCCTAAACTAAAACTTAATAACCAACAATCATTTAGTTATTTAATCGCTATTTTGATTAATACTTATCTAGTATATATCGCTATTTATTCAATTAATAAAACGCAAGCAACGTACAAAATGGCAATTATAATAATAATCTTGACAAAAAAAAATAAAAAAAATATTTATATTTGTATATAGTCGGAAAAACAACTATGAAAATTACACAATTGTATTGTATATAGTTACAAGATGCAGTTTTTTCACGATTCTTGCGGGTTTTTTTTTTTTTAATTAACGCGTGCAATAACGCAATATAAATACACAATGTAAAATGTAAATATTAATACAATGGCGTCTCCTTAACCAACTGGCCTAGTCGGTGCGTTCTATCCCACGGACTGCAACACACGTATGCGCTAGATGTGCCTATATTATTGTTTACGCAAAACATTGTTTCGTGAAAGTAAATAAAAAAAAAAAAAAAAAAAAACCGGAAACAATAATAATATAATCCGGACCGAAGAAAAAAACACAAAATGTCGTGCACTCGCGTGGGTAGGTATGTATATAATCGTATAAGTGAAATATATACATCCGTCTGCGGCATGGATCGCAAGTACCGTTAAAAAGTTATCTGCATAGCGTCAAATAATATAATAATAATAATAAGTTTGATTCAAAAAATTGAAAATAATAATAAGAGGCCGTCACTACAACAGTGGCATTTTCGATTCTGAGCGAAGAAACTTAATTTGGTTTTACAAATACGTTTATTAATTTATTTTTCTTTTATGTGCGCAAATTTTCTACCGGCAATTTTGCTCCAATTTACAATAATAGCATCTTTTTCTAAACGGATATCTGGGAGAGTGGTTATAAAAGCATTTATAAAACGTTGTATAAAATTGTACAAATCGTACTCCAATACTCTCCCTTCATCTAAACCCAAAAGTAGAATATCTCGTTAACGGGTTGACGGAAATCAAACATTTTGATCTTAAAATGTATTTAAAATAACACTTTGTCTATTTGTGGAATGTTTTTACATAGTTTCTCATTTGAAAAACCACAGGCGGTATCGCTACAGGATACTCTTTAAATGTTTTTTAAAAATCTAAATATTCGAAAATATGACAAAAAAAAAAAATAAACGAAAAATATGGGGTAAGCACGCTTAGTGAAACACCCTGTACATTATATATTCAGCAAAGGTGAGTGTGAAAAATTGTACCCGAAATATAGGCATTCGAATCGAATGTTCTGCTCTTGAATCGTGATTTTTATAAAATAAGTTATGACGATGTCCGTGCTCACGGGCAAATTTTAATACCACGCCAGTGGCGCACAAATCGACTTACGGGCTGTTAAAACCACGCCAGAGGTCGAAAAAAACCCCAATGAGCTTTCATCATAAATTATGCACAATAGTAGGTAATGAACAAACTGTAATTAATAATAGCCGAAATTCATCAACCCTAATTGAAACATAATATAATTATATTCTTAAATCATTATTCATAAGTAAGGAAATTAATACGCGTTACAACTTGCGCGATAGTTTTGATTATATAATATTTATATTATATACGGATAGCAAATTTGAATTGTTTAATAAAATGCACACAATAATACCATTACGGTAATTAAATAATGGTGTTTTCTAGGCGCAACAACAACAGAATAGGTCAAGAGTTGGTATTGCGCCAATTGGTAGAGAATTTTTTTTACTGACATTTTGATGAAAAAACATCGTATTCTTGAAAATGTCGGACTTATCTCATTATTGCACCGGTGCAAATTATTAACTAATAACTGAACACGATTTGAAATTTTCAACTGATATTTAACAAAAACACATTCAAAACTTCTTATGTAAAAACCCATAAAAAAAAAAACTATGTAAAAATGGCAGATTCCCATGTATTATATTACTATGTTTTCTTGGACCCCATTTTTGGGCAAGTGTATACGGTCCGATTTTTTCACATATAACTTTAACAAATATACGAAATTTCCACCATTGAAAATGTTTTTTTCCCGACAGTTAACCACCTTCGATCTTCACTTTTATTTTGTTGGTTTTAGATCGACATTCAAAAGCAAGTCGAAGCGAAATACCGTTCCATAATTAAGTGTTCATTCGCAAATTAATTTTACCTACTATAATAGTGAGTTACAAATGTATATAAATGTTTTTAACTTAAAACAAATTGCATGTTCTTCTAGCTTTAGTAAAAAAGAGCAGAACGATGTTTAGAAAAAAAATTGTTAACAACACAAAATTATTTGACGAATCAATCGAAATTAATTTAATTGATATTAATTTAACCGTTTTCATTTTTTTTTTTTTTTTTATATAAACTTATAAAAACCAGACGGATGTTTTAATTTCATTTATTTATAATGCATACCTACATCATTATATGATTTAAAATAGGAAATATTAAATATTACCTGGAAACTTGTCCGTCATTGTTGAAGTCTTGTGAGTTGGTCGAAGATAAACACAAATTATATTAATAATTAGTCCAATTTAACCAAAAAAATTAGTAAAACTCGGAGTCAAATTAAAAGATATTATAAAAAGTTATAAAGATCGAAAAACACCAGATAAATGCCGGACTTATTAGAGCTATGTGTATCATTTTTCTTGAAATAACAAAGTAACACGGATCCTGTTATTAAAAGACCACGGAGTCGTCGCCATAGGAATTATTAATGTACGACCCACAGACATAAATAATAAATTAGATATATCTAGGATTTTTTTTTTTTTCTTTGTTAGCTCTTCTAATAAGAAATCCTTAGTAGAATACTTATATCAGTGCTTGAATTAGGGAGGGGGACGCAAGGGTTCCTCTATTATTTCTATTCTTTTTTTTTTGTTTTTAACGTCTCCTTACTAATTATGTCTACTGGGACGGGGAGCTAATAATGATATTTTCAAAAAAATTTTTAGAGCGAAGAAGCCTATGGCTTTACAAGGATGTTTAGTTATTTTATTTTCTATGAACAACTTTTCTACCAGAAATTTTTTCCCAATTAAAAAAAATAGCACTTTTTCTAAAAGAAAATTGGATTGGGAAGGTGCTTTAGTGAGATCAGTTTTCGATTTTCCCAAAAGTTTTCCTAACATATGTGAAAAACCGGGAAAAACATGGGAAGAAAAACTTAGAAAAATGGGACAATCGGTACCTTCAATATTAAACAAGCATCACTATCAACTGAACTCCGCACAAAATCGTTTTTTCGTTAGCGATGGTTTATTGTTGCTTACAGATATACATTAAATTCCCGTCTGTACCCTATCTTCCCAACTTCCCACCTCCAACAGTGGCTGCACCTGTCCCCATCATCCTAGGACAGTTTTTTCGTTTATAAACGATAATAGTCAAGTTTAACAAACTCGTTATCGAACAATAATATGAAGCTAGGTCATACAAACAATACCGACTGATTTGTTCTCACTCAATTGAATTTATATACCCGATCATGCGCTTAATCGTTTTTGTTATTTTTTTTTTTTTTAATGTGACTAAATTTATATTAAATGATGTACCTATTCAATTAGAGATTAATGGCGTCGATATCTTTAAATACAATTAAATCTACACAATTAGTGCTTATATTTAATAATAAGATTATAAATTAATTTAAAATAGAGCATAATAGTTTTTATTTTACACATTTACTTCCCCTTCCCTGATTAGCTGTCACTGACGTTCTATCAGTTATTCAGAGGTTTTACCGTAGTAGTTATTAACGGAAAAAAAGTAAATTAAAAATTATAAAGTTCCTTATTTTTATGCTATACACAGCTAATGTTGTGATTTTCAAACGACTCGTAATTATTATCATAATAGTATTAGAATCGTAATTGTTCGTTAAAAACTATTTCATTTGATTTAGTCATTAACAGTTGTTAAACGTTGCATTTTCTCAAATGAAACACTACGGTGTTCCTCCGAACAGACTATCATAATGTTCTTGAGAGACCTTAAAAAAAAAAAAAAAGGCGTCGTAATTAATTTAATGTAGCAGTGTGTACCTACGGTTGTATGGGCGTTTCCGTTTTAAAAGCGTTGCCCAGACGAGACATAAATACAATAATATCGTATGTTATTCTATGGACGTGATATTATAACCAAAGACTACCGACAAAACAATTCGCCCTCGGCCGTTTCGTTTATATATTTTACATTTCCGACCCGTGGACGTAATAAATCGGTTTCGAATGCATTGACAGCGGAAGAATAACAGTACCACTGCGGCTGCGAAAATGCGGCAACAGAATTCATAAAATATAGACATGTTATTATAATATAATATTGACACTATTAGCGCCTCCCGCGGCTGTAAGAACGAGTTATTCATTACGGTTTTACTATTTAACCGTGCGAATAAATAAAATAATAATATATGTAGGTAATTTTTTATTTTTATTTTAACCACATAATTATTATTCGATTTAATCATGTAATTAATTTGTTTAATTGTCAATATTATGTCTATAATAATTCATTTGTAAAGAATAAAAAACACAACAGAAAGCGTTTTAAATTTAAAAAATTTAGCTTTAATCCACACATAATAGCTCTCCGTTATAATAACTGTCGGAATACTTCAACTAGATCAAAAATTCTAGAAACTGGAAACCTCCTCGATTTTTTCTGATCAGAATCGTGTTATCAACAGATAGATAATGAAAACACATCATATTGCTGTGAAATTTAAATACGGCAAAATTAGTTTTTTTTTAAATGTCCGAAAATTTCCAGATAGACTCTTTAGAAGTGTTCTGAAAAACATGTACAATTTGGACATTCTAAAATAAATATTTTTGCTTCAAATCAATCAAAGTATCACACGACATGTATTCGATACATTTGAATTAGCATTGCTTTTTTTTTTAGAAAGAGAAGGTTACAGCCTTGAAATCAATTCGTCTTTTAGATTCTGAGTGGAGCAAAGAA